GTATGGATTTTTTTATGAACTATGGAAGGAATATGAAAGGACTTAGAGCATAAGGTATGTGCAGTGTCAGAGTATGTGAATTCTGAAGCCTAGGGAGTTTTTTCATGCCCAAGGAGTGATGGTGACAAACACTAAACTATGGGTGGATAGAGAACAGAAAACCTCAGCTGGGGGCTGCATGTTCGTGGTGCTGTGTCTGCAATCCACTGAAATGCCCAGTTCTTGTTTGGATCAGCAAATGCTTGGGCTCAGCCGATGCAAATTCCTGGAACCTCAGTGTGTTGAGAGCAGGAAAATCAATGTGGCAACGTGAAACATGGTCCATTCAGATTTAAGCATTTTGGCCCATTTCAATTAATCTCAGAGATCAGAGTGCAATAGTCATTTCCATCCTTCTTGTGTGACATTTATTGCTACCCTGACATTTTTCATTGTTGTTGTACCAAGCACCTTTACCTGGAGAAAACAAAATTGCTCGTGTTGAAGGGAAGTGTGCTGGAATTTACAGCATTCAGGAAGGGAGGAGAAATTAATTTGCTTCGTTTTACTCTGAATGAGAGCAAATGGGGAAATGCCAGGATTTCCAGGGGCATGTATATATTAAAGGTTTCTTCTGTTTATTATTATTGCTCTGCATTCCTTATTTCTTTCCAGCTCTTGGAGATGGGATTGGCCTGGTTAGATGCTACTGAACAGGGAGAACCAGCCAGCCCATGCAGCCCTGAGCCCTTGGCCTTGTCTGCTCTCTGGGATGCCTGTCTTTGCTTCAGTTTTGGGGTCCTTCTTTCAGTGGGGATAGAAAATCGAAGCTCTCAGTCAGAAGGGACAGCAGAAGTCTCTATGCTTGAGATTCTGCTGCTGGCAGACCCAGAAGTCAGACTTTACTGGCAGGATACAGATCTGCACTTGGATTTTGGTTGCAGACAAGTCAATTTGATCAGAAATGTGACCTCTCAGCTCAGACATGGGGCTGCAGTGAGTGCAGTGATCTCTCCCTCTTGACTCATAGGCAGTGCAGTGGAACCCTCCAAACTGTAGTTTTAGGAAATTAATAGGTTTAGAACTAAAGGCATTGGGGAGAGTGAGAAAAATTGTCACTAGTCATCCAAAGACTGTCCTTTAAAACGTGCAGAATGTTTACAACTTTCCTTCTGTAATGTCCCATGACTGGTGCTTACGTTGAGTCCTGATGTCACTGGTGTGGTGGAGAAATGTCACCAAGGTAGGGACAGGTTGTTACATACACCCGTCTCCTGGAGCACTGGAGGGAGTCAGGAGCCATCTCTGTCCCTGGCCATCCTTGCAGTGGTTACAGGGCCAACAGTGAACCTGGATGTGTGGGCAGGACAGCCTGTGTGGCTCCCTGGAGTCACGTCTCCTCACCACGAGCACGGGGAGATGGAGAGTGGGAGGATGGAGCAGGGAGCACATTAATCTCTTGACTCATCTTCTCATCAGTAAATTCTTTCATTTGCAGGATGAAAGGGAGTTACAGGAAAGAGCTCTGAGGCTATGCCGTGTTTGTCTAGGGCTTGGGCTCCCAAATCAGGCACGTTTCCTGCCATGGTGCCTTACGCTCTGACCCTGCTCTGATCTCAGGCACATGGGCCAGAGGCAGCACAGGCAGAAGCTGAACTTCCCATGGCTGCACTTCTCAGCTTGTGTTAAACTAAGCTGTTGGCCTCTGTGGCCCCTGAAGGACATGATCTTCAAGGCAGTGTGAACAGAGGGGCTTGGTGGTGAGGTCGACAGCTTGTTATCTGGGAGTGACAGAGCTGTCACCAACCTGGCCACCCTATTCCTGCCTCGATCAGTGCATAAAGAAGGCAGTGTGCGTGGTGTGGGTCCTTCAGCAGTGGCTGCCCTGTGAGGAAGGAAGGGTGGGATCCATCTCCCAGTGGTATGTGTGTGGAAGGGGTGCTGCATCCAAACTGGGTCTGTAAACTCTTTGGAGTCAGTGGAGGTCTCATCAGTGCAGGCAGCAGAGCCAACACAGCCATTCATTTCATCCTGCTGGGTGAGCCTGTGTGCTGTTTGTGTGCTTGACTTGGAGCACGGTTGGATACTCAGGGCTGAGAACCAGAACGGGTCTGACTTACACCAAGTGGAAATCTGGCACAGGCATTTCAGATTTTTCTGTGAAAAGCTTCCTTAATTCTCTAACTGCTGTCCAAGCCCAGAAGACTCTTCCAGAGTCTTCTGCCACTGCCTTTGTGCCAAGAGCATGGTGGGGTTACCGTGGTTCAGGCCTGCAGTGACTCAGGGGTGGATCAGGCCCCGTGGCTGGATCCAGCTGCCAGCAAACTGCTCAGCATCTGCTGCGGGTTGGCAGAGCCTCACTGAGTACCTCAATCACAGGGGCCGACAATGTCTTCGCAGATGTTGTGCCACCACCACAAGCAGCAGCTCTTCCAAACTTCAGGCCACGAATTCCTGTCCCTTTATATTCCAGGCTGCTGTTTCAAAAGACAAGAAAGAGCTGATATCATTACTGCGTTCTTACACCGAACACCTCGCATGTGATAGAGCAGCTGATTATTTAATTGTCCACTTAGTTCAAAGTGTGCCACCTTTCAATCCAATTTTAGCTTTTGTTATTGCTACTTATACCTCAAGGAAGTGTCTTCCTCTGCTCTGGATTCATCAGGACCTCTTGTATAATCATCCCTGTAAACAGCTCGCATGGCTCTGGAGAAGACCAAGCTCCCAGACCCATCCCTGTGTCCCCATTCTGCTGTTCCCCAGGAGTTACACAGCTTCAGCTGCTCCAGGTCTGCTAAGAGACATGAGCTTAGTTCTGGCCCTGGTTGTTGGTGGGGCATATGAAAGGTGCAGCTGCTTCCCTCCCAGCTCCTGCTTGTTTCACATCATTGTGGGCACACTCTCCATCCTGAACCTCGTGGCTTCCCATGTCTTTGAAGGTTCATTTTGGTTGGGACACTGATAAAGTGAGGTCTGTGGTGTGCGTTTTTGGACTGGTGTGCGAGTCAGTTCCCTGCATGGAATGAGGGTGTGGGAGATCAGAAGGAAGATGAGAGAAAACTGCCCGTGTGTGCAAAATGCCATTCTGCAGGGTTGTAATTGGTGATCCCAAGGGCAAACATCACAGACACAGCAGGGATCTTCACACAAGGATGCTCCCAGATTAAAGTGTCTTACTCTAAAGCTTACCAGATTAAAATGTCCTACTCTGAAGTTTCCCTCATGGGCAGCAGATTAATTACGCTTCAAAACCTTTAGAGTGGTGGATGCTTGGTCCTGTGGCCCCAACACCAGAAGGTCTGCCCGTAGGGATAAGAGAGATCTTTTACTCTCCTTGGTGCTCTGTGATTACCGGGAGCTGGTTCAGCCTGGGATGTAACTCCTGAGCTGGCTTCAGGGGTACAGTGAGTGCTGGGGAGCTTCCCAGACAGGTACCCTTCTCCTCTGGCTGGGGATCCATGTCCTCTGATTTTCTAGTCCGGCTCTCTGCTGAGGTGTACAAGAAAATCACAACACCATCCAAGTGGGTGCTTTACCTCTCAGGTCTCAGCAGTCCTCTCTGCCTGTTGCTGTCTTGCCCAAAGTAGTGGGAACTCCTGTGCTGAACCCATGCCTTTGCATTTTGCCCCCAAAAATGCAGTACACACTCATGGACTGTGACCAGCTGTGCTGAGGGAAGCCCAGGGAAGCCCAGTCTTCATCAAGGAGACTGGCAACCATGGACTCCACCTAGCACTGCCATCCCTGTGGTTTGCCCAGTGCGATCATGAATAAATTTAGTACAAATACATGTGCTACGTGTGTCCTTGTTGGAGGGGTGAGAGATAAAACTGCGCTTGGGTGAGAGTCACAGGTCATCTTTGAAGTCTAAAGAGCAAGTAATCAATTACCACAGGCCTGCCTGCAGGCCTTCAGTAAATCTGGCTGCTTTCCACAGTAGAAATAATAGCAATGTCCTTTGCCAGGTAATTTTCCAAATGATTATTTTAAATAATATGTTGCTGTGATCCAGCAAAAGAGTTTGGAGATTTATTAGGGCGTTTGTCACTGTGGGGAAAAGCAGGCGGTGAACTCTGCGGGTTGGCAGTGAGCAGCACGGGGCAAGAGGCACATCAAATACTCGAGTGTCTCATTGCTCAGGTCCACTCTGGGTTTGGAGAAACAGGAGACAGGGACATACATCTCGTCCCTGAGCGCTGGCTGCCAGCATCCCTGCATCCCAGGTGGTGCAGATGGTGCTGGAGCTGCTCTGAGGCAGGAGGAGACACAGGGGGGTGGTGGTGATAGATTGCTCCTCTCCCTTCCCAGGGCAGGTCTGAACAAAAGGCAAGGGAGGTTTGTTGGGCCTGGATCCATTACCCCTTCCTGTGGTGAAGGCTGAGGCAGAGCCTTGTTTTAACAACCTGGCTTGGAAATGAAGATTGTGGCATTGCATAGAAACTGTTCCAACCAAGCCCTGGAGAACAGGCTCTTGTGGGTGCTTCAGGTTACTCTGACCATCTGCCTGCTTCTATTTTATTTTATTCTTTAAAAGCAGAATTAGGATATCTTAAACCTAGGCTTTTTTTTATTTGTTTTGTAATTTCTTGCCTGTTTCTTGGATTTTAAAGTGGAGGGGGGAAATACTGCAATTGCTTCAGGACTGACATATGTCTTATAAATAAATAGTTTGACTCTTTTCCTATTAACTCTGACCCAGAGCAAGTGGGTCTAGTGGAAGATGTCCCTGCCCATGGCAAGGGGTTTGGAACAAGATAATCTTTAGGGTTTCTTCCAACCCAAACCATTCTATGATTCTGTGATTAAATAGCCTATGATGGCTTTGTCAGTGTTGTGGACACACTTCTAGTGGGATTTGGCAGATGGGGCTGCCAGGGTGGAGTGAAAGAGCCTCGGTGAAGCTGAGAATCTGTCCTGTGGTTTAGGAAGGGAAAATAGCACATCCTGATAGAAACATATGGCAAAAAATGCATGTCCACATCATAATAATGGCATTTTCTTTCTCCTTCTTCCTCCAGGTTATCTTGCACCCCGAAACCTTCCTAGTGCAGGCTTCTTCCCATTCTTGCAAACCGTGCTGTGTGATTCAGATGCCAGGTGTAAAGGCACACCATACACACCAGAAGATTTACTGCCAAGACTTAGTGACATTTCATCTCTCAAACTGTAAGGGAATCTGAATATTTCTGGGTGTTAAAAGCTGTAAAGCAAGACTTGCTTTGAGGTGAAGGGAGCAGCCATGCATGTCTGTGTGTGTGAGTTTGTCCACAACAGATGTACCTCAAATACCTCTTATAACAGATATCTGACACTTAGAAATGAGAATATGAGCTGCAATATGGACACTTCAAAAATGTTCATAGTAGGGGCAGCTCTCAGTAATGTGTCCATCAATTCATACTTGATACTTGAAGAGAATTTTACTCCTTGAGAAAAATGCTTCTGCTCACCCAGATCAGAGCAAAGAAACTTTTGTGCATGACTGGGTCAGGTCAGTGGATAAGACTGATCTGCCACCCTAGTGACTGGTTCAGGGCGCTCTGGCTGGAAGTGGGAAATGTTCTCCAACAGCTCTAGTCTGAGATATATTTGTTCTGGAGTGACTGCTCTTCCAGCAGATCCTCCAGGTGCCAGTCAGAATGGGTGTCCTCTCTGTAGCCCATCAAATGTGTTGGGAAACAGATGAAAATGAAGACTCAATTTTTGCCCACAATGTACATTTGCAGTGTGGAGCTGGCTGGGCATGTTTTGTTGGAACATCATTTTGCTGAAATTGAAATGTTCAGCGGAAGCATTTCAATCTATTGATGTTCCACTTGAAGCCAAGTAGCATTTGCTTCGAGCCTTGCCAGCCAGGGTTGTTTCTACATCTTGGCTGCCTGGTTCTGACACACCCCTGGGGAACATGCCACTCTGAGGCCTGACTGGTTTGTGGAGAGCTGAAAATCTGGGCATCTCACAGCGTCCCTGGTTGCTCATCTTTGCTTTTTGGTGAGAGGCTGCTCCATAGTGGCTATGTCAGAGCCTCAAAATCCTCCTTGGCCAGAGCTTGGGAGCCCCATGCCTTCCACCAGGGAGCCCATCAGGCGAGATGGGGGATCCTGGGGTTGGTGGGTCTTCCTTAAAGCGGAGGGGCCATCATTTTCCAGGCCAAGTCAGTGGTCAGGATCTCTTTGGTTAGAAGGCTGACTAAGGATGTGGTGACTGAAGTTACGCAAGGTGAATCCTAATCAAATTCAAGGTCATGCAGCAGAAGAAAAGGGGGAAGGCAAAGCCACACTGAGACTGGATGCCTGGATTCACAGCTCTTCTTCCCTCAGTGTCATTGTTTTTCCCTGGGCATGCTAAACAATGGTTAATTTGGGGTATTGAAATGAAGAAATGGGAGCTTCCAGAGCCAAAGCTGGAGGTCTTCCATGGGTTTCAATAGCTACAAATCCTCCTTGCTTTCTGTTTTTGGTTTCTGAAAAGCTGTTTAGGAAATAACTGGTTTTCTGTGCCAACTGAAAATCAAAGGATTTGGCCAAACTATAGATCAAGTCAGATGAGTCATTAATAAGCATCTTGACCACTGTTGATGCTCAAAGTTGGCTGTGTGCAATATCACTACAGCTTTGTGGCCACAGCCACCCTTGGGAGGTCATGTCAGCCTTAGAAATATATTGTATTCTACAAGAAACAACACTAACTGTTAAGTAGGCACAGCAAAACTAGTGGATACAGCAGAGTCTAAAATCTTGGGAAAAGGTCACCTGGGAAAGGGAAAGCTCCAGCTGAATAGGTGCAGCTCTGCCTCGGGAGCAGAATCACCTTGGGTAAGTTTGTCACAAAGGCAAAGTGTTTCAGCTGTGACCCTTCGTTGTCTGGTTATATTATTGTGTAATATTCTAGAGTTTGTAATATTCAGCTAATCCAGGCTGTTTTTCTCCTCTCCCATTGTGCAACTCGCTGAAGCTCTTATTAAACTTGCCCTAAAACTGTTTTGTACCAGTGGTCAGCAGAGATGATGGGCAAGGTTCTCATCTTTGATTCTGTTCCTTAGAGCCATTTACCAAGGTGTGCAAGACATGGTTGCTTGAGGTTTCCCTTACTAAAATGAAACTAAGTCCAAAAGCCAAGCTCAACACCAACTTCTTCCACTCTTTCTTTGCTCCTGTAGTGAAATGTTTGGGAAGGATGAATTAATCCTTCCCATTGTCTGGAAGGATTTCTTGGTAAGGGCAGGCAGCTTATAGTGTAATGGAGCTCTGCACTTTTGCTTCCCCAAAATACATGCCAGGCCTCTAGAAGGAACCAGGCTTCTGCACAACCCAGATTTTACCACACCTGCCATGAAATCCAGCTATAGACACATTCTGAGGCAATGCAGTAAAGTGTGAGCTTAATTATAAGAAACTGGGAGTTGTGACAGGTGGCTTTTTTTCTTTCTTTTGTCCTTTCTTTCCCCAGTAAGAGGAGGAGCTCATCCAGTGTATCCAAGGACAGCCATCCATCAGCATGGAGTGCAGAGGTTCCTAAAAGCAGGAACGCTTCACTGGGTAGGTTATTCACTGCTCCACAAAGTTCTGCTCTTTGAAGACTGACCTTTTGAAGCTCTCTGGACAAAGATGCAATTCTTACAGCTCTGCTAAAATGATTTATGTGTTCTATACAGGCACATGACCGTGGCCATGACATTAGTGCAAATTCTTGGGAATAAGTGCAAGTAACTGTCTGTAGAAAAGACTTTTGGAGCTTGGCCAAGAAACCAGGATTAAATGGTTGCACTTCACAGGAGCAATGCAAGATCACAGATTGATTGGACATTAATTAAAGACCTGGCTATTTATGGAATATTGCCCTTTTACTGCCCACAAATTCTCCATAAACAGCTTATGATTTTTTTCAAATGTGTTTTTATTCACAGTTATCCAGCAAATAAGTTGTCTTCTGTGCCACAGTGCATATTTATTGTTGGTGATGTTCTCCTCTGATGTGATTCTCTTTCCTGAAGGAACTTTCAGACTGAAATTTTCCATGAAATCGCTACAATTATTATTTATTGATGGTAATGGCTAGTACAGTCTACAAGCCATCGTGATGGATAGTCCTTTCTCCAGGGAGCTCACGATGAAATGAATGATTACAGATTTGCATTTGCCTTTTCTGCTCCAGCCCTTCACTGTTCCAATTAGCATTCCTGCCAATGCCCTCACTCTGTGGTGTGCAGACAGAAAAAGGCAGAATGCAGAAGGGACCAAACACAGAGGTGTGGGGGAAAAAGCAAATCAATGAACAGTTCTGAGAACTATTGACTCATGGTGGTGGTCAAGGAGGAACTCAGCTCTACCTCTTATTAAAAAAAAAAAAAAATCATAGGTCAGGCCCCATGTAACATGTTACAGAAGGAAACAATGTCATCCAGGATTTAATCACATCAGAAAAAACAACCTTTAAACACTTATAGGGTGCCATTGGCTGTACCTTTGGAAACACATTAATGATGGAGAGGTGCCCAAAGCTGCAGGCAGCTGTCTGGTGTCCTGGTTTGATGTAACAAAGAGGTTAAAAGACATTAAGTAAAATACAGTGTTTCAAACTGTTGTTGCAGCATTTGGGGATTTGGGATCTCATGGAGAAAAAACCCTTGGGAATATTTCATCACCATCCAACTTGACTTCCAGCATCAACACGTTCAACAAAATCCTCAATTTTGGGAAGGTAAGTTTGTATTTGTGTAATAACTGAGTGTGAACCTTTATGTATCATCGTGTTTAAAGAATTAGAAGCTCAAAGTACCAACATAGAGCTTTTATTACTTCCGGATCTCCCCTATTATGTGAATGTGCTTTATTTTGGGAAGGCAGTGATTGTGGGTGGAATTTTAAGCTTTGTGGTAAGTTTATTATCCTCTAAGCAGAAGCCAAGTAAACCATACACCTTTGGGACATAATGCCATGAAATACCAAATATGAACACACGCAATACCCTGAGATATTTTGTTCATAACTTGTCTGAGTTAAGATGTTTAGAGTGTGGGGTTTTTTCAGGGGAAATTAAAGATACCATGGCACAGGCTTTTCCATTCAATTATTTATTTACCCATGAGTTCTTTCAGTGGCATCAGAGGAACTGTGTGTTCATTATGAAGGTATAAGTCATATATAGGAACAACTCCTTTGTAAGGGAAACTTGGTACAACGTAATGGACACTGCTATGCTTATGTTCTTGTGTTAAGGCATACAAACACACACATTTCTCTTTATATCACATGAGGAGTTTGAGGGACTTTAGTGACACTATTCAGCTGCTGGAATCCTGTGTGCGTGTAAGTGCTTGTAATGACAATGCTTTTCAACTGGCACTACTATCCCTTAAAAGAAGTCTCCCCACTGCATTTAAAACCATCCCAAATAGAATGTTGCTTTACAGCTGCTTTGAACATTTTGTCTTTCTCTCAGAGCCAGACCCAACATTCAACTGCAGCCACTCTCAAAGTCCTGCTGTGTGAGGTCTTGTCGCGGTATGTGGCACATCCCGGTGTCACCGGAGAGAGGATGGCGGCCAACATCCACCACACCTTCTGCTTCACTGACTCGTCACTTTTGGAGTCGTTTGCCCAGGAGTTCAGGAGTCAACTCTCTCAGGTGAGTGCCTGGGACCTGTCCTGGTGATGCAGCTGGGAGCTGTGGTGCTTCACGCACGTTGTGCAGTGTTTGGGAGCTAGAACAGGGCCCCTCCTGGCTAGGAGCTCATCTCTGTACCAGAGTGCACACAGTGCATGATGAGGCTGAGCTAATTCTTGGGGATAGGATTAGCCCAAAGACCTCCAAGTTGAGTACACAGCTCGGAAAGCCAAGGATCATTCACCTGCTGAGGGTTCTCACCGTGCCTGAGCCTTGTTTCTCCTCTTCATTTGCCCTACTGCAGTGACAGGTAGATAGAACAGCATGAGGATGAGGTGTAAATAAGAATATTTAAAGCTAGGGAAGGCAATAAATTTAATTGTGTATTACCTCAACTGTGTAACTTCATCCAGTAACTCCTGCATCTGATCCAACAATCCATGATTGAAGCAGTACTTGTCTTTGGGAAAGCAATATAATTAAAGCAAATGAATCCTGTAAAGGTAATGCCTTCTTTCTTTTTTTTTTCCCAAGGTAAGGATTGATATTAATTTTTCTTGAATTCCTAGTCTTTAGGCTCTTTAGGACATTGTGAATTGTAAGGCTTGTCTGAACAGAGAATTTATTGTACAATCTGGAGTGTGAAGGTAAAGCACAGTCACTCTCTCAGTTATTGCCTGTCACTAGAGTCCTTTGGATGTATTGTTTGTAGACTTGCATGCAAGTGCAGTGCAAGCTGAAAAACATAAAAGGACCCACTAGCAGCAAGGGTTCTTGTTCTTAAATAATTTCTTGCATTGTTATTTGTTAAGGTGCAACACAACCCACAGTACCAGGAGACATTTGTCAGTGAAATGGTCTCGTTTCTGACACTCATCTCCCAAGTGCAGAATGACACCTCCCTGTGGCATCTCCTTTTGCTGGCCCCAGATGTGTTGCAGGACAACTTGCAACTGCAAGACATAATTGATTTCCTTCAGAATCCAAGCAGGTAAAATAGAGAAAATGCCAGGAGAGGCACTGAAAGTTGGTGGGTTTATGTATTGGCCTCTAAGGACATCACCTCTCATCTTGAAGAGAGGGTATTAGTTTAAAAGCATGATTTGTTTGGGAAATGATGTGGCTCCACACTAATGCATCTCTGTGGACTGTGAGCAGTGTGCTGATTCTCAATGACTCTTGTGTCACTTTTTAAATAGAAGCTCAAATGAAAACTCTGAGTTTTCTTCCAGCCTGCTTAGAGGCACTGTCATGCCCTTGTGCAGAGAGAAAAGCTGGTGAGCCTCAGCCACTGCCTTTGGCTGAAGAAAAGCCCTCCTGGCTGGATAAGGAAAGCAGCTGGCTGCTGCTTTCCAGAAAAGCATGGAGCCAAATTCAAGTCGCTTTGGAACACCTCGAGCTCTTGTAGGGGAGTCATAATTTTATTTTTTTAAATGGATTTCCTGATTTACTGCTGGTTTAATCTTTCCAAACTGGTCCCAAGAAAGCAGAGAAGAGAGGGAGCCTGGTTTTGTAGCATATAGGGCTTTGAGCTTGTCTGACTTCAAGAAGAAAGTGCCAGTTATGTACTTGCTCAATGGTTATATGAAAAAAAGACCTGACTTAACTGCAGGAATGAACTGTGATTAAATATTTGATGCAGGACAATAAAAACTCTTCTAAAATGGTCTTAGCCTTGAAATCCCTTTCCTGGTCTGTAGTTGGGCTAACCTCTCACTGATCTGTGGAAGACTCGAGTTACTCAAGAGATTAGGGGACTCTGTTCCAAATCATCTGCTGGATGTGACAGACCCTGCTATAAAATATTCTGAATAGTCCAGTTGTTACAGCACATGGAGGACAGCAAGAAACTGAGTGTCTTCAGACAGCTTTTTGGTTTTATCTTGCATACATGAACAGCTGGGTAAAGATGCCAAAAGAGGTTGCAGAAGCTTTGCCACTTCGATTACACCCAGGCTTAGAGGGACTCACTTTTCATGACTGGTGTGTTGCCAAGGCACTTAAAACCCTGCACATTTAATATCTAGGTAATTTGCCATGCTGCATTGTGAGACCTATTTGTAAGTTGTAATGTCCTTATCCTTAAAGGAGTCAGTAGCAGTGTGGCAAGAATTTTAATTTTATTCAGAAATGTTTTGTTCATGCTGCTGTTTCAGTCACAGGATTATTGCATTTGCCTTTACTGGGTTGCAGAATGAAGCCTGAGAACCAGCCCTGTTTGAGTGCCCAGGGAGAATTAATATTTACTGTGCTGCTCTGCTTTGCTCTACAGCTGCAGAGCTGGGCAAAGTTATCATAGGCATGACAAAGAGATACATAGAATTTCATCACCAGAACTGTGCAGTGCTTTTATGCCTGGCATCTGGCACTGTTAGTGTGTGAGTAAAGAGTTATTGCAAAGAGATTGCACAAATAGTGTTTTTAATAATGCTTACAAAAGCACATCTCAGCGAGCCTGGCCATGTCTCTTACTCAGGCAGTACTGACCTCCTCTGAAGATGTGCTGTACAGGGAATTTTTTTGCTGTATGAAGATGAAGGTATAGAAGAAAAGAACTTTTGCTCATTGTGGCATCTGTATTAACCACGTGATAAACGCCACCACCGTGAAACAGTAACTTCCAAGTCATGAATTCTATTGAAAGTTTAGGAGCAAATTTTATTATCTACAAAAACCTGTTCTCCAGACTGAATTCACAAGTGCTCCTGTTTGTTGCTTTAAGATAGTTTTTCAGCTAAGCATGTAAGCTGAACTTTTTTTCCAAATACGAAGTCTGCAAAAGCCCTGCAAGAGTAAAATAAAAGAGCAACAACAACACTTCTTTCCATGTTTGCTGCCTTCTGATCTACGTGACGTGCATATGCTTTTGGCAAGCGTGTGCCTGCCTCCTCCTCGGCTCTGCCATTGCTCAACTAAATATGTCATTTATAACTGAGTTTCTTCCCCCTCTAAGACTCTCACTAACAAGCACATCTGCAGAACAAAAATGATGAGCACCAAGTTCACGAAACCTGCGTGGAGATGTTATGTTAAATGAGGAGAAAAGAGATGCCTGGTGCTCTGTTCTCACCAGCAGTCCGTTCCCAACGATCAGGATGTATTTATTCATGGCACTGAAATCAGCTCAGCCAAGTTCTTTGTGTATCACCTGCGGAACTTGAGGCAGGCGAGAGATTGCGCGTTTCACGGTGACCCTACGCCTGCAGTGAAGAGCTGCTCACCGAACAGGAGAAGCAAAAGGGACTAATAATCACTGTGAAGTTTTCAGTTACCCCCACACCTGAACAGACAGTCCTTTAAATGACTTCCTCTGTGACACAATGTGCCTGATTATCAGCTTGTTCTTTCCTAAGACTGAAAAATATTCCCTGCTTCCCTGGCAGCCTGGCTGTTTAAGTACGAAAGAGGAAAGAAGGAGAATTGGAAACGGTAGTAGTTATTTGTGATTGCTTCTTCCTTCCACAGATGTTGTCCCCTAGGAACCCTTGCTCTCCCTAGAGCCTTGTCAGCTTGTTTCTTGATGTCTTTTAGGAGGAAATTCCCCCACAGCAGTGAATCACCTGACTGGCACATCGCCTGGGTGTTTTCTAAGATCTGCTGGAAGGATTTAAGTGGTCTATAGATTTTACATAACTCTCTAAATAAGTACACCTAATGAGTGCCACACATATGTTTGTGCTAATACACTTCTCTGGCTTTCCCATCAAAGCCCTTGGTATTTGTATTTTGTGCATGATCAAACAAATAATTAGAAGTAGGGGCAATGTCTGTCAGACATTTTAAGAGTGATAGGCTGTACTCCAGCTGTTTCCTATTTGAACACTTGTTTTATTTGTTCTCATAAACCTGTAACTACAATTTATTTTCCTGTTTTTTTCCCCTTTAGTGTTGTGCTGGCAGCTCAGAATGTCTCTGCATCGCTTTTGACTGATGATAGATCCAAAACTGTTCAGAATGGGATTACAGATCTTCCATATTCAGTGAACTGCTTGGAGCAAGGTAAGGCTCCTCCACAGAGTCATATCTCTGCTGAAAACCTGTGGTGCTGAGGAGAAGCAAACTGCAGGCTAATAAGTAACCACACAGATTGCACACTGTTCAGGGCTCAGCACATTGGAGTCTTCTTTCAGCTTTTTGCAAGTGCGAATAAAATACCTCATTTCAAACAGGGAAGTAAAAAAGCTTGGTTTTGTCAGGAGACAATGAATTAACATGAGTTTGCAGTCTCAGCGGAAGCAGAGAGCTGTAATTTTTTACTTTGATTTTCTTTTTTGAGGTGTGATGTCAAACTCTGCCTCTAGCTGTGGATTCTGTCAAAATCACCTCTGTATTGGGTCTGGGTCTGGGCTGCACAACAAGCTGTTGACATCCAGATTAGCCATTGCTCTAAATCCCTGTCACTTAGAGCAGAGGCAGTCCTGGACATCCCCCTCTAGCTGAAGGTGTGTGAGCAGGCAAGGGAAAGGTCCAGCATCTAAATGCTACAAGAGGCAGATCAGTAAATGCTGTCCATTCTCTGCTTCTTTCATGGAGATGGTGGAAGTTGAGATGGGTAAAAAGAAAGATTAATGCAATGCAAGTAGGGAAAACATGGAGATGGGGTTAGTGAGAGGGCTGGACACATAGGGATATCAAGATGAGTGTAAATGGCTATGGGGGACATAAATGATGCTGCAGACAAGGCTTATGTGTGAGGAGTTTAAAAGCATCCCTAAATGAAGGGAAAGAAACCGTACTTGGCCATCTTATCCTGCATTACTGATAGCAAAGTGCTCCTAAAGCAGGAGGAGAGCTCTGTTAGCACCCACATCACACGGGTATGGAATTGTTCCTGAGATGGGAAATCATTTCTATGATACCAGGTAGCACCTTCACTTCCTTCAGAGAGCCAGGAAGAGTTACATCCCAAAAGAGCACTCAAATTTCTAACCAGGATGTTGTGTCTTGTGGTAGGAGCCTAATTTCACATGTGCATGTTATCCTGGACAGATTTGCTGTATAGCTCTTTCCAGGTTCCAGAATTATGTGATCTTTACTAATATACTCTTTACATTTTTGTTGTAGATAAAGAGAAAAGTTTGGTGACCAGATACATTTGTAATTCCTTTGTTAACTGGAAAGACAAGCAGACTTTAGTGTCTGAATTGGAGGAAGTTCTAAGGTAAGACATTAGCTAAAGGGATATTACTAACAGTGTAATTCAAATCTATGATCTTTGCTCTAAATCACCTTACATTTCCACTTGCATTGATTTCATATTCACTAAAACACTTCTTTGTTCCCCTCTAGAAAAATAAAGTCACCAGAGATTGGTAGAAAGGACTCCAAGAGGTCCATTAATTCAGATGATTTAGAAGCCATACAAAAGCATCTACATCGTTTAAAAGGCTTTGAGGAAAAAATGAATAGAAGTGAATTAAAAACCTTAAATCTATTCAGAAATTTGAAGAATGAAACATTACAGAAATTGTATGCATTTCTTGAACTGGGAAAGAATCCACATCATGATTATAAATTAAAGGAACCATATAATAAGGAAATAATTGATGAAATCTATAACTTCACATCACTGCAATTACTGAGTGACTTTAATAAGACTTCCATCTTTGATATAATGACCCAGTGGAAAGAAATTCAGAGCGCTTTAAAATTAGCTACAATTATTTGGAATCCAGTTTTGTTAAACAAGTCTAATTTTAGTATATTACAAACTAAGGATGCTCTCAAAATGTTGCTCTCCGCGAGCATGCCATCACTTCTGGAAGACTTCAGAGACCATTTAAATGGAATGCAAGAAACACCATCTTTGTTTTCGGATGATCTGCTGAAGCCTGTGTCCTACAGCAACTTTGCAGAGCAACTCCAAGCTCTGCAGAGGATGATTTTTGTAATGACAGGCACGAACATGGGTTATCAGTACCTACTGCTGCCTGTGTTTGAGGTGATGCGGGAAGTGGAGCGCTCCGTGGGGGAAGCCTGGTGGGATGAGCTGAATGTCTACTGGCGCCTCGGGGAGAAACTGAGGTCGATGAAGTGGAACAACACAGGCATCATCGCCTACGGGCAGTTCTTAGAGGTATTAAACAGCCATTTACAAAAGCTGAATAATAATTCAAGTGGTGTCTTCAGTGAACAGTTGGATCAGCTGTCAGAATTTATAACAGCCGTGTTTAAAGAGTTTGGGGAGAGCTCTGGAGTAGCCAATATCTCACTAGTCACCCAAGCCATCCAAAAGACCTTGTACATATTAAAAGACTTACAGCTGAATTATAATGTCACTAAATTGAAATCTATAGATCTTTTCTTTAATTTTGACAATAAAACCTTCAAGAGCTTGTCTGAACTTCTGAGGACAGGAATGAAAATCCTTCATTATACAAGCGACAGTGAAGCTTCCAGGGAAGAAATAATTAACCCTGTCTATAACTTAACACATCTCCTACTGCAGGAGTTCAACCAGTCTTCCTTACAGCCCAATACTTCTCTGGAGGCAAAAATTTGGGAGTTCTTGCATTCAGCCTTGAGTCCTTTCCTTGAGAACAGCAACAATGGTGGCGGGACCCTCCAGAATTGCTCTTTTGAAAACGTGCTCCACATAGCACTTGAGATGCTGTTTGAAAATGCCACTCTAAGGGAGTCCTTAGCCAGGAGCCCCTGCAAGACCCTCTTTGATTCCATGGGCATGGAGGGTGGAACAGTGCACAATGACAGCTTTGCCAAAGTGTTCCAGCTTGCCATAAGAAACCTGAAAGTGTCTCCAGAGTTTGCTGCTCTCTACAAGAACAGCAGCGAATGCTTCTCCAAGGAGCTGTCGTGCATCACCCAATCTCTGCATTTTTCCCTGAGTTTCCTTTCCAAATTAAACCTTGTGTCTGAGCTGGAAAACTCTTGGGTGCAGGAGAAGGCGAGAGCTCTGACTGCTGTCACGGAGGGGCTGCTGCAGAGTAATGTCTCCTGCCCCATCCCAGTCCAAGATGTGCTCCCATCTCAGCTTTTGAGCCTGCTGATTCCTGCCATGCTGAATGAAACAGTGCTGGACTCCCTAAATTTCTCTGACACTGTAGCAAGCTGGAATAACCTGTCCATGCTCTTCAGTGTGGCACAGGGTGAGCTCCATGTGAACAACCTGCTGCAGAGACTGCACGGCGCCTTCAGCCTCCCCAAATGGAGTTATTACACAAGTGTCTGGGATGTGGTTGACAGGTTCCTCAACACCAAAAGGAATCTAACTGAAGGAGCTGCCTTTGGAAAGTTGTTAAGAGCAGTGGCAAACAACTCTGCCAACGAGATGTCAGCTCAGGAAATCGCAGAAGCCAGCTTCTACGTTCTCAAGGGGCTGAACTTCTCTGACCTGCTAAATGAATTCGATATAAGTTCCAGCTCAGCTTTTCACTCCAACAAAACTAGTTTTGACAGTGTGATTGATATCATCTCTCATCACTTCGTAGTCATGGCAGAAACTCTCTACAACAAGACCCTGCCTTGGTCTCAGAGTGACCACACTCTGTCACCAACCAGTTTGATCACACGGTGAGTTTGGGTTTTGGGTATTGTAATTGTGTTTATGGGTAGTGACCACCATTCTCATTCTGGCATGAGAAGTATGTAATTTTCTTCCGTAGAGCAACCTAAGCCTGCAATCACCACAATTTAGGACATGAGGTGTAATGTGGGTTAAATTGAAAAAAAGAAAACTTCTTGAGTTGAACATACAGGTAAAAGTCAGACTTCCAAAAATCTTCTGTTGGCACGTATCAGCTCATAGTGCAAGCAGAGTCCTGAAGGAGTCTTACCACCAGTGGTAGGCTCTTTGGAAACCCCTTTTTTGTGGTATGATTCTCTCAATTTTAATCCTCAGTCTCCCCTGAGTGTGCTTTTACATCTATATCGTGCATCCACAGTGAACATTTCAAGTGTGTTTTCTTATACATATGGTTTGAGAGTGAATGACAGCTTTGGGAGATAACAGCAAAAAGATTTGATGAAATAAAACTGGGAGGGTACCCACTTAGGAGAGATGGCTTTTATCTGGAATTCTTATTTACACTGCCAAGGAACAGCATCTACACAGCTGATAGGTTGCTTGCTGAAGTACCTTGTTTCTGAAAGAGAAGCTGATTTAAATTCCTATCTTATTTTTCAGATTTCTGTTTTTGGAATTTGAAAACACACTCTTGCAGGTGACAATGAATAACAGCTGTAACCCTTACCTGAAGTGTTTAATAAATGCTGCTGAAGCTGAGGACAGAGAATTGACAGGTGATCATGATTTCATTAATGCTGTGGGACCTTGGATGGAATGTGTCATGCCTGTCTTTTCAAAGTGTTTTGTCTAGTGGTAGGAAGGAATGGTGCTGCATGTTTTCATCTGCTGGTAATTAACTGGGGCTGTGAGACCTCGGGAAGCCAGACTCCTTTTTTGTTTGAGTTATGTCACATCGCGATTATAAGTTTCTATCCCACTCTATCCAGAAGGCACATCTACTCTTCACTGTGTGATGACAGGTTGCTGACACTCAGATAAAAAAATCTTACAAATAGAAACCCATTTCCCTTCACAGCTCTTTGTACCTGGATGACAGCAGTTATTTTTGAGAGTTAAGCTGGTATTTCACATAGATACTGATCATATGAGGTTATTGTAACACCTGACACTTTACCTGCTCACAGAGTGGGGGTACCACATGTGCTCTGAAGGGCACTGCCAGAATCCTGTTACCAGGATGGGGTGGATTTCCCTAGGAACAGAGCACCTACTGGGACTGGATCCATTATAATTCAGATTACCACCTAAGCCTTCCTCTGGGATTTCCAGGTTCTTGGCCATGTGAATTTGGTGGAAAATAGCAATGCTCAGTAGGCCTCTGAATAAAAGTGCTGATGTTCCTACCTGTGAAGTTTCTGCAAGTCTGGCATTTTTGTCTGGAGTAACTATTGTTTTTTTCTCTGCACAGAAAACATCACCCTGCTTTTGAAGCAAACTCATCTGAAAAAGAACTCTTTTATGCAAAATAATACCTCTGAGAAACATTCATCCATACCAGAGCTCCTGAAGCTAAAAGTGAGTCTGCTTAAAATGCTGACTTGAAGGACATCCCGCAGTGATACATGAATGTGCAATGGTGGTTTAGAAAAACAGCACATGGAAAAAAGTTTCTGAAAAGAACAGCTGATAAAAACTAGGACGGAAACTCTGTGTTCTGCCTGTATTTGAAGGTCACCAGTAAACTGGTTGAGGAACTTGTTCCTGTATCAGATATTACCGAGTGTATACCTGTTTTTCAGAGAAGGTAGAGGTGTTCCTGTCCTCCTAGCCTGTTGGATAGAATGGCTCTGTTTTCCACCAGCCATCCCAAAAGGATGGGCACTGCATAGATTGCCAGTGGCAACATATTGCTCAGTGCACCACTGGTTTTAAAGTTCATTGAGACTTAGCGAAGCACCTTGCAGAGCTGAGATCATTCTGGGATGCCTCCGCTTCAGCTGGGAAGTGGGTAGGGAGGAGTTCTCGAAGGCACAAGCAGGGATTAGATATCTCTGCCCTGCTGAAGATCAGGGAATTGTGCATCCCTAATTGACAGTTATAAGCATGACTAACTTGGTTACCACTGTGCCTAAGGAGCTGTGCCAACACCAGCATGGCTGGACTCAAGTCCCCACATGCTCCCTTAGCCCTGCATGTCTCACAACACCAGAATGGGTTCTGAGATTAAGCACCAGTATTTAATGATGGAGTTCCCTCACCAGCTTTGGGTTTGGCAATGCCTCATTTGAATAAAATGCTTCTTACCCCATGCACTAATAGCATTCATGCACTTTAGTCTATTGCTCCATATGAGAAATAGTATTAAAGAGTCCTTTTAAAAAATATAACAGTATACAATGCTGTTGATGTGCAATATATCTGTAATAATAATATGATGAGCCTCAGTGTTACAGGTACTCAGAGGCATAAACCTGAAAATAATTCTTCCTATAAGAGCCTGATAATGTAAATAATGATGTCAGACAAGAGGGAAGCCCATAATAGCAGAGTAGGCAAAGGATTATAATTTTACACGGGTTGGCAGATGTGGAAGTCCTGACTCGTGGCCAAGTCTCTTTGCCATGCTGTAGTAGATGACCAGGTGGTATCCGAAAGACTGAACCTGTTGGGCAAGGTAGATTTATTTGGTCTCTGGGAAGATTAACTGGTAAATGGGTAAGTCCAAATTAAGTATTGCTATGCGTGTGTGTTGGGTGGGGGAAATGATATGTTAGGGCTTGCAAGGTTTATTAGATCCAGCCAGGTCTGCTACAAACTCATGTAGGAATGATTGTTATGAACTCTCCTACTGAAGACCTTTTGAATGAACCTAAAAATATATATATTAAAATCTTAATCCTAAGGAGAAACAGAAAGGGATGGCCAGACTCTTTAAAACTTGCCTTTTACAATTCTGTCATCTAACTGGTGTTTGTGCATTTGTCTTCTTTTGTCAAAACCTCCTTTGAAGATCTCTCGCCTGCGGGATCTGACAACCCTTCTGTGTGACTACGAGAGCTTTAAGTCAGTCCAGCAGCTCTGCCACCTCCCCGAGGTTGGCTTTGGAGAGCTGTGTGAGCAAGGCCAATCCCACGAGCAGCTCCTCCGCGCTGTGGAGCTGAGCAGTGACATGGTGACCAATGTCCTGAACCACAGGAGAATCTCCCAAGAGTTTCAGAATGTACTCATTGGGGATGCCACGAACATCCAGACACTGCTGAATTGGTGAGGCTCTTCCCAGAGTTAGACTGCTTTAGTATTCTGTTTAGGAAACGACTTCTTGCCTTCTTTTCACGTTCTCAGTTTTGTTTGTTGTTTTGTTTTTTCCAATGTAGGCTTCAAGAAAATGTACCAGAACTTGCTTTCTTTCAAGAGATTCCTCAGTATATGGCTACTTTGAATTCCATGTTGAACATCACTGAGAGTTTAACAAACTCTAGCAAGCAAGGTACTTTTCTGTGTTTACAGTGTTGGTACACTATCGCTGGTACTATACTTTCTGCTGGAAGTCCCAAGAATTGCCTAGCTGCCAGGAAGAAGTGATATTAATGAAATAGCCATGTCCCATGCCCCTCGGGATCCTTTATCTGGGGTACTACACTTCCATACTTCACCTGAAGTCCTCTCTGTGTGCTTGAGATTGCTACGTGTCTGGAGAAAGCTGTTACGTCAATTGTTCTTTGATTGCTCTTTACAGAAAAGTTAAGAGATGTGTTTAGAAATGTGGACCAGCTCAAGGAGGATCTCAAAAATGCAACAGGAATGTCTGCAGCCAGTATTGATGCTCTTCTGGAAACACCTCTCCCAGAAAACAGCAGTCAGGTAAGTTTGCTGTCATCCTGTTGGGAGATCTTGTTGCTTTCTACTTCTCAGGCCATTAACACCAGAATTAGTTAGTGAATGCAGCTGAGCAGATCACTGCATGTGTGACAGCACAGAGAGGGGTGGGTGATCCCGTAGGGATAGACAGCAGAGCATATTATGGATTGGAATCACCACCAGGAATGCGGCCGGAGCAGTCACTGATGTCAGTCCATCCACTGGGGACCAGGAGCCGTATGGTCCCTCTGACTGTCAGCAGTGGCTGGTGCAGAGCCAGGCCCTGCCTGGGGAGGGATGGCTCTGATCCGTGGCAGGATGTGGTTCACTGGGACAGACTAATGAGGGCTGGGCAGGGCCTTCGGAGGAGTCCTTGGTGCTCAGAAGTTGTCGCAGTCCAGATGGAAAATACACTTGTAACCACATCTCATGGGAGCACTCGGGGTCCAAAAATAGCCTCCCAGAATGAGAGATGAGCTTGCCTTCCTCAGCCTCCTGTGCAAGCAGAGCTCCAGATGCTTTTCCTTCCCAGCCATCTTGTCTGGACTGAGCCCCAAAGAGCGAGCTCTTTTCCAAACGTCACATGCATCAGTCAATGAGAAATTGAAGCCACAAAATCTTTTACTACTGTGCAAGCTGGGTAGTAAAACACAGTCCTTAGGATTTGTCCCTGGGAGAGGGAGTAATGGGTAGGCATTTCCTGGTTCTTGGGGTTGAAATATGACGCTGTGGAAAGAACAACAGCACGGCAAGATTAATCCACGCATGGTGGAGCGTGCAGTCCACCCCTAACAAATCCATTTTCCCTCTGTGCAAACACAGCTCATTTCTCAGCTCCTGCAGCTGGAGTCCTGTAGTGTCCGTCCCGCTGACCCGCAGCTGCGAACGGTGGCAGAGGAGTTGTGCAAACTCTCTCTCTCAGAGAGGACTCGTGGGACCTACATCCTGGGGGTCACGCTGCTACGACACTTAGACGTTTACAATTTCTTGTACAAGGTTAGTGCTGGCTTTGTAGAGTGATTTCTGTAGTCTTTGCTGCACGCAGTGGCTGAAAGGTCATAAAATATCATTGCAGTGGCCAAAAGCTATGAGGATTTACACAAGCCAAAGATCAGGCTTTGCTCATGCAGTAATTTTTATTGCATATCCATGCTGTGACAGTGTGGATATAAATGAGAATCCCAGCTGGTGTAAACCAGCAAACCTCATTTAAAGGCACTGGACCTACTCTAAATGCCTCCCTATCTGCTAGTATCATTTATGTGCTGTCACAACCTCTTGAACATTCCCAACTGACCCAAAAATAAGGCACTGGGCTAAATAGTTTTATTCCTTGAAAAGCAAAGCCCTGGAAAAACTCCCATAAAATATCTTTTTCCTATCTATTTGGAACTACAAAGTCATTAAATGATTCAAATATCCACAGACACAGCTGTAGAAACAGCATGGAAGAGAACATCCACGGAGAAATGAGTACATATTTAAAAATGCTTATTAAATGAGAATGCCAATGAAGTTGGGCTCAGGTCAAAAGTTACTTGTAGTGTTTGACACCTATGCTTTGTGAAATGCTACCACTTAGAGACCTGATTATATCCCAGCCAGTAACTGACACACATTTCCCAACTGCGGGTGTTTGGAAATGTGCACTGTTCAGATTATGTAGTATTCAGGGGAGTGGTTTGCAAAAGCACTTGGGGATTTAGGAATACAAATCCCATTCATTTCCCATGGGACATCCACCCTGTAAGCCTCCTAACAGTTTTGAAAATCCCACGCTCCTTATCTTTGAATTAACACAATATAGGTGTGTACATGCACGCGCACACAGATTCCTGCTAATCGTAATTGATTTCCTTCCTGCTTCTTGTAGATGTTTTTCCCTAAGGAACTTCAGCAACCCATGGACAAGATGTTAGGCCTTCTGACAAAAATGAAATACTTCAGACACCAGGTTGAATCTGGTGTTGATCCATTGCTACAAGCTATTCATTCCCTGAAAAAGCTCCGGCAGTCTAGGAAAATGCCACTGACTAAGGTACGTGTAGTCTGCATGGGCTTCGGAGGCAAAACACCACTGGAACAGTTTCCACAGTAATTTCCTACCCCAGAAGCCTCATTAAACCACATTAAAACAAAAAAATCTCTATCAAACTTATCCCTGTCCAAGGCCAGGTTGGGTGGTGTATTGAACAACCTGGTCTAGTGGAAGGTGTCCCTGCCCATGGCAGAAGGGTGGAACTAGGTGATCTTTAAGGTCCCTTCAAACCCAAACCATTCTGTGATGGTATGCTGCCTTCCTGGGAAAGCTTTGATTTGGAGCAGTGGGACCATCATGTGCTCATGACAGGGGGATACAAGGAACACGTGCTGTGGGAGGGACACTTGGAGCAAAAATACAGGGGATGAGCAACAGTCTTGAAGGAGGGAGGACTTCCAGCAAAATACTGGAAGGATCAGCTGGTGAAAACAGCTGGGGAACTTCCAAGTAAAGGCAAAACCAGTAGGTTAACAGCAAAACATTGCTCTGGCTTTAGGGTGCATTAGATCACACCCAAAGCCTCGAGCCTGCCCAAAACATTCAGTACAAACACATTACTGCTCTGGCAGCTGCAGTAACTTCAGCGTGCACTACCTTCATCCAGCACCATGTCCAGTCCCTCTCAGATCCATAGTCAGTGAGAACACAGATCAAGGAATCACTCCTGGTCATCACTTTGCCTGCACATTGTAGAGCCACGTGCATTCCTGGACTAGGTGGGGCTAGGGAATGTGCACATCTGTGTGACAAATTCTGTGTTGTAACCCAGGGCCTATCTGTGTCAACAATAGGGAATTCCTCTGCACACATTGTAGGCGCTTCCCACATTGGCTCTCACACCTGGAAATGAATTTGCCACCACTGTCATAGCAGAGGTTAGCCAAAAAATGCATTATTTCCATGGACAGTTCCTTTTTTTGTAGAAACAAACTTCTCCTAAGAAAGCAGTGTAAACATGTTCAATCCTTGCCTTCTCATTCTGTTATTTCTCTTTTCTCTCAGAGCGGGGTCCTTTCAGCGTGCAGGATTTATTTGCATTTTGTCTTTTCTGCAGGCGTTATTTAAACCAGCCACCTTTAGGATAACACGTGGCACATTTAAGTCCATGTCAAAAGTTCTCTGCAACCAGGAGATCACACCCCTGTTCTTTGAGTCCTTGCTTCCAGATTTTGGAGACCCCATAAGCAACAGTTCTAACGCGGAGGATGTCTATGTCCAAAAGCTGATGAGGAAATATGGGATTCCTCAAGACTCCAGTAAGTCTGACTTTTCCCTAGGGCAAAACCATTTCTCTGCTATTTCCAGAGAGATGTAGTGCTGAGCTGTTCCCCTGTGTGTCTCTGAGGGCTGCAAGCGCTCATTATTTATGCTAGCTGAAGATCTGCACTGCCCTAATTATTGGAGCTTTATTTCCATAAATGTTCAAAGGAAAACTGCCTGTGCAGCAGAGCAGTGCTTGACACTGCACTGTCTCCCATTCGTTGATGATCTGGTCTTAGGGCTCGACAGGTCACTGCTTTTTCTTGATGTGTAGTTTTTCTGACTGTACTGACATTATTAGCTCCTCTGAGTTCACAAAACTCCATTTAACCTTCGAGCAGATAATCTTGGCTTGAACAGTGAGACTCTTGTTGTCTTGAGTTCAGCAACAGGAGATCTTGGGGGTGGATTGCTTTTGTCAAGATGCATTAGATCAGTCAGTGAAGAGGGCCCTGAAGTCATTCTCTGGACACAGCAACAAACTGGGTAGATGGGGAAAAATACACTGGTAGCTTTCTTGTGTCTGGTCTATTTGTTCTCTGTGCAATTTTGTTTGCTTTTCTCCCCTTGCAGCACCATTTTGCTTATCCTTTTACCTGGACCTGGTCAAGACCCCGACTGGAGCTTTAATTTGGTCTTTTTTAAAACCAATGGTGCTTGGGAAGATCCTTTTCACACCAGATACCCCAGCAACTCGAGCAATCATGAGGAAGGTATGGCTCTGTTCCAGGACATCAGGCTACACCCACTCCAAAGGGTTGTAATTTATCTGGCACGGGCTTGTTTCTCTGAGAAGCACAGGCCTGCTTTCTCACTGTTTGGTGTATTAATCCAACTTTCTTTTTCTGGTTTCCTTGCTGATATATGAGTCATCTTTTGTCTTTGAATGAATCTTACCTCCAGAAAATTGCTGTTGGTCTAATATTTACAATACGATTTTTATAAAGCCTCCAGTTTAGGAAGTTTCACCCCCATATTTTCAACCAGTAAGAGAGATATGTCTCACAAGACAAATGCTCTAACCAGTGCTTGTTCACAAGCAGACCAGTAGAAGGAAAGCTGATATCCAAGACATGTTCTAAATGGCACTTTTGGGGCCGTATTTTAAGTATTTGCATCAAATTCGGTGTGTTAAGGGGCATTTTGCTAAACAGGAATAGGATGCTAAGAAAAATCCTGAGGAAACCAAATTTGGTCTCAGCTGTTTTATTGATATATTTATTGATTAAAATCTGTAAGATAATGAATAAATTAATCCTTTATGTTGTGGGCTTCTTTTGTAGTCTAATGCAACCCTGGAGCAGATGGCTGATCTAGCCCTGAAGTCCCAAGAGTGGCTGGACAAGTCTCCTGTCATCATTAATTCCCTGGCTAAGTTAAACCAGACAGTTCCAATGATCAAGGTATGAGATCCTACCTCCCCCATCTCTTTGGCCAGGAGGGAATAGGGAGGATAGATTTACTCACTGAAATGAACTGCAGTTCCATAGACATCTGAAGTCATGAGGGGAGGCCCTTCTCAGGCTTCTGTCCTGGACTTCCCAGTTCCTGTGCCTGCCTGTTCCCTTAACAGAAACACTCCAGACTCACCTTGCCATGCACATCCTCTGTCTCAAATGATCTGTTTGTAATATGCTCCCTGACACTGGCCATGCTGGGGCCTGCTGGAGGGCTGAGATGAGCAGGGAATGCTCTTCAGTTTGTAAATTAACTTTCTGCTTGATAGAGTGATCCAGCCAGCCAAGACCAGGCAAGAAATGACTTTTTCAGAAAATGAAACAGTATCTATAATAAGCATGTTGCTCTGGGTACACACATAAGAGCTGGAAGATGTTTTGTACCTCAGTGAATGTAAATAAAATTTCTTTTTCCCCTCCTAAGGAGCCTAGCCTTGCTTGGATACAGAAAGCAGTAGACTGTAATGTTACACACACTTGTTTCCCATTCTCTAGTAAAAATTGTCTCCTTTTCTTACAAACTAAGAAAATGAGACCCCTGGAAACCTAAAGCATTAGAACTTAATTTCAGGGGCTGGAATTTGTTCTAATTTCCATGGCACCAGGAGAAAAATCCAGAGTGGAATATGCAAAAGTGAAATTAAATATCCTCTGCTGATTGCACTCATTGGTGGAATAATGAAATATTCAGCCAAACAAAAATCTGTGCTGATCTCCAAGTTTAGTTTTGGTTGCCTACCCATTGTGCTCTGGCTGAGTTCACAGGACTTAAAACATACCCGAGGGATGTTGACTGCACTTCTAGAATAACTTAGATTATCCATAGTTTTTTTTCACAGGACTCTAGTACCTGGGGGAGACTCAGTAGGTGTCCTCTCTTGACTCCAAGAAGCACTAACTTGAACTCAAAGAGCTCTGTATGACATTTTCATTGCTGCCATTTCTCCATCCTGATACACTGAGCGAAATCCGGAAGGTCAGGAAAGGAGTAGGAGGGGGTTGTACAAATGCTCAGTGAAGTCTGCTACATTTTAGAAATACACTGAATAAGCTCAAGAGACTTCTGGTCAAACTCATGCTTTTTCTTTTTTTTTCCTTGTTGATAGAACACTCTGCAGAATCCCTTTGTGCAGGTTTTTATCAAGATGATGGTGGATTTGGATGCAGCTGAACTGCTGAGTCAGATAAACGAACTGGGTAAGTGTGTGTTCATATGTGCTGCCCTCTTTCTTCCTTGTACTTCAGGTCTCGGAGCTCCAGAGGCACCAAACTGCAGCCATCCCGTAGTACTGTTGTTCTCTGGCCAGTGTTGGATGCTCTACTGCAAGGCAATCTCAGCTCTGATCCAGGAATCTTGTGGTCTATGGGAAAAGACTCTTAGAGAGCACAGGGCTTTGTGAAGAGATGTTTCTCCTGGAGGTTGAAGGGAGAGTGGGATGGGAGACTCTGCCGCTGTGTGTGGCCACTGGAGGACACTGTTTAGCTGTAATTAGGACTTCAAATGAGCTACCTGGGACTGCTGGAAAATGTTGAGGGCTGCTCACTTGCATTGCAACAAGGTTCAAAGTAAAAGTTCTCCAGAGCAGAACAGCAAGGGATAAGATAAAGGTACCCAGGCTGATGGAGCCAGAGGAGAAGCTGTGCTGGAATTTGCTGTTCTCTGATGGTCTTGCATGAGCCTTCAAGGTGGGAGTTGCTGATGTGCACTGTGAGACTCAACCAGCTAACAGTGGTGGTGGATACATCACCCCCCGAGAGTGCACAGCAGGGGGATCCCAGTCCCTTTATCCCTGTCCTACTGTCCCTACCTGCTCTTTCAATGCGTGGCCATACATCTCAACATAAATCTGGGCTATGCCAGCAAAACCAGCAGCAACCAAGAGTGGTTATGATCTCTTGCAGTCAGAAGGGCATTTACATCCTGTTCACGATGACCCCTGCGTTACTCCATGAGTAACAATTCCTGTCTTAACTCCCCAAAAGCCGTGGTGCCGGCAGCAGCTGTTCCCTGTTAGTTCCCTGCGTCACGCAGTCACCTTTGGAACCTGGCTGCAAACGGCAGTGTCTTCATTAACTGCATTATCAGGCTCAGTCCACACATCAGCACAGCACACACAGCTCTGCCTTGATGGGCTTGTGCTCCCCTGAGACACAGCAGCTCAACAGGCGAGGTGATTACACCCAGAGCCATAAGGTGTGGAAGGAATGGTGAGCATCGTGTGCGAGTCTATAACCCCAGCAGCTTAGGAGGGACTTGTAATTTGGGATGGCTGTCACATCTCACTGCTGGCATCCTCCCAAAGTCAAACTCACGAGCATATTACAAATGATTAACATAAAAACTGGGTCAACAACATGCCTTCATTGCACTGCTGAGTGAAGAAATGTATTTTACACTTAATGTTTACTATGATGGGGAGTTTATTCTTCCTTTCTGGCGTCATCATTAGTGTAAAGGGTGGAATGATGTGATGGATTTTTTGCTATTGTAGTGATGCTGATGGTTTTGTCTGTGGGGTTTTTTTCCAGATGATATTCGGCTGGAATTACAGAACAACACTGACATTGTTGATCAGCTGAACACTCTTGCTACCCTTGCTGTAAACGTGTCCTCCTGCGTCTCGTTTAATCGTGTTCGGGCAGTCAAGGACTTAGAGGAAATGGAAAGGGTGGCTAAGGAGCTCTTTCTGAAGAACGAACTATTTGCAAGTATGTGACAGTCTCAAATCCCCCTGTAAATTAAATTCAACCTGATAGAGGGTGGGAGTGCAGCGTAAGAAATCTGGCTTTTCACCACAAACTGTTATGGTCAGCTCCCACTGCACAGCAATCGATTTTGAGCCAGTGTGTGTGTGGGGCCTGCACCCTGAGACCTCCTTATGGAGTGTTTTACACTCCCTTTTTATACCTCCTCTTCTCTTACACCTCTGCTTGTCAGCTGGTGACTTCTCTTTGTTAATTCTCAGTTTGAACAAAATTCCACTGCCCTAAGGAGATCTTCATGCAACTAATTTATTTCAAGGTTCCCTGGAAAAAGGTGCTTTAATTGAGAAAAATATCATAGAATCATTGAGGTTGGAAAAGACCTTTAAGATCATCAAGTCCAAATGTGAGACAGTTCAATTTATTAGGAAGTCATAAAGTGCTTGAGATATTCCAGCCAAGCACCATAATGTTATATTGGGTCTTCTCAGTCACACTTCACATTTGTGGGATTGGATTGCAGCTTCAGATCAGACTGCAGAGACCAGTGGAGGGAACAGGGAATAGGAACTTACATTAATTTGAATAATATAAATATATCTTAATTTTTAAACAATGGCCAATATCTCCTCAATTAGGATTTACTTATAATTCCTGTGACCTGTTTGGTTTTATATTTCATAACTGAGGAGTAGATAGAAACTTGCTTTTCTTGAAACTTCAAACCCTGATAATATTTGTCTGTTCCCATAAAAGCAGTTTTCTTCCCTGTTTGTCATCCATTCCATTCCATCGTATGTTTTATGTATGGAATAATCAGGAAAGATATTGTGGAGAGAAAAACTTCTGTGGTGTTGGCTCTACTCAAAACAGACATTTTAAAGGCAAAAAATTTCCTGTCTGTCAAACTGTACATAAATGCAATTTCCAGACAGGAACGTGCAAAGCTTTTATAGTCTGAGACCTCTCAGCTTTGCAGGAATTTGTGTGGACCCAAAAATATGCGTGTAGGTCATCAACAATTGTCAGCACTGGGTTCCGAAGGCTTTTATGTTACAGCATCGAGACATGAGCTGTATTGATAGGGAGCACCTTTGGGCACAGTCATGACAAGTGTCAGCCCATCTGAGCATTATTTGTGCAGCAAAGAAGTGAAATGTAGAAAAGGCTTACAAAAATGAGGAATTCCTACGTATCTGTGTGTACTGCTCCCGTGCTGTCAAGTCCAGAGGAAAGCCTTTTCCTTTTCTTTTCCAAGGTATCATTTTCAAGCTGCCTTCAAGCCATAGCAGCCCTGGATCCTCAGTTTCTGGGGCCTTGACCCTCCCTCCTGTGCTCAACTACACGATCCGAATGAGCAGCAGGATCACACAGACCACCAACAGGATACGGGAGCGCATCTGGACCGTGGGCCCACACAATTCCACCTCCCAGAGCCAGATCTACAGCCGGGCCTTTATTTATATCCAGGACAACATTGAAAGGGCCATTATTGAATTACAGACTGGCAAGAAACCAGAGGAAATAGCTGTTCAAGTCCAGGCCATGCCTTACCCCTGCTACAACAAGGATATGTAAGTTTGGGTGGCTTTTGTCTCCATGCTTTGTGTAAGCTCATCTTGTCTGACCTATAAAAATGATTTTTGCTTTTGTTTTTTGGGGTTTTTTCCCCAGAGGTTTGAACAAAAGAGGGAATTTTGGTCTCTAGTATAAATGGTCTGTGTTTGGTTTGCCTAATCTTTCGTTTTCAGTGCTCTGAATGTACCTGGATTGTCATGGTAACTATAGGCTTTACAGGAGGTAACATTCCCTGTTCCTGTTTTACTACCCATGGTGGAACTGAGAGTTGACAGGACTTAGGTTAAATATGAGTGTTGCTTGTTCTGCAGGTGTTTACATGCAGATAATGCAGCAGAACTTAGAAAATGGACTTATTGGGAAAAAAGCATCCCTAGGATTATGAGCTTTGTTCCTAGAGATTGCTGTCCAGCTGTGGTGTTTGTTATTCATTCCAGTGATTCTAGATAACATTCAGTGTATACTGAGTAACTCTCAATCAGGTGGCACTCAGATGCTTTAAGAAGGACAAGAGGGAAGATGAGATGGTACCATTCATCTCTGTGGTAATGAGGGAGGACAGAGAGGCTTTTGCTGCACTGAGTTGCTGGGTTAACAGCCTGTTAACAGAGCAGTGTAAGGACCAGAATAAGTTTTGGATGGTGAAGCAGATCAAAAAGTTTTGGATCATCTTCCTTTTCCTTCAACTTGAGCCAGATCTGCAGCCAGTATGAACAGCATCTCTGCCAAATGCAGTAGAGAGAAGCGAATCTCTCACAGCTGAGGAGCTGCCCCTCTGGCAAGGCAGTTCTGGTCTGTGTGGGAAAACTGGCAACGTGGCACTGCCTCAGAGTTATTACCCTGACCACAGCTGGTGGCCAAACTGGGTGGAAAACGCTCAGGGAAGGGATTTCAGTGTCTGTCAGAGAGCACTGAAGGATGTTCAGCAAGCTGTATCAGAAGGTTGGGTGGTTGCTGTGCCCTGTGCTTGGACCAAAAGTACAGACTGAACCGAGGAGCAGTGTGTACTGAAAAGCCTCCATGTTGGCTGCATGAACCAAAAGATTGTTTGAGAGCTGTAAGGTGCCATTTAGGAGCTATAGCAGAGCCATGGATCTTCTGTCCCAGCTGTCACTTAGGAGAGCTGGAGGCCTATAACCTCTTCTCAGGGTAGTTACAAGCAAAGTGCCCACAAGTGCAGGCAGGGAGCATCCAAACCAAGTTTTGCAGCAAATACCTGGATTATTGCTGAGAGAGAGTTTTGTACAATGATTAACTGGCTGCTGGAAGCACTTACTACAGTGCTGTCTGCTCCTTTTCCTTGTTCTTGGCCTGCTGGGAAAAACTCTTGCCTTCGGGTTTCCCTCCCCACCCCAGGTTCAGAGGGACATGAGTTTGCTCAATTATTAAAATACCTAAAGGCTTTGGATTTGCATCCAGTAGAAGTCATCATAAAATGCCTGCTTATCAATTGTTATTGCACAGTTACCATCCTGTAGGGAAAAGGAGGGAATATAAATATACCAGTACACAGAAGGTGTTGGGAAATGCTGAATTTTTAATAACTAGAGATTATGCACAAGGTGGTAGCAAAAAAAAACCTAAACAACAAAGAGCCAGTAGAGCTACTGAAGTGCCTTTTCATGGTTCTTTAAAAATAAGGCTTCATTTGCATGGAAGCGTTTCTGGAAGCACTGGTTCATAGGAAGTTTTCAGCTTCACAGGTAAAAAAAAAAAATATTAAAAACAAATGGAGTGTTAATTTTCTTCTGTTATTGTACATTAAGCATTTTCCAGGAATGACCCTGATTGTGTTTTTTAAGCCAGGTTTAGAAATTAAGGAGGAAAGCATAGGCCCTGCAGATGCAATGAAGGGAATCTCCTGCTATAAAAACTTGCTTTCCATCACAAAGGGACAAATTTATTGTTGGCCATTGTTGTCTTTTTTTTCTGCCCACATTTGGCACTGGAAGAAGGTTTTAATTGAAGTGAGGAGCCAAGAAATGTGACCTGGATCCTCAATACCTTTTCTTTGGGATAGTAGAACAGACAGTTTGAAGGGAAGAATCTATACCAGGAAATATGGCCTGACAACAACATTTGGCCATTATATCTGTGCACAGAACTGGGAGTTAGGGCTGGTTGCTGTGATCTTTCCAGATGGGATATAGCCCATCAGAGAGCCAGGAGATGCCACTGCCCATGGTGCTTCCTGCTCCTGCCAGTGGTGCTGCTGAGCTAAACTTCCAGACTGCATCAGGAAATCCCTCTGTAATTAAAAAAAAAAAAAAAAAAAAAGATTTTGAGCAGTCAGGGGTTTCATGAATAGAAAATCCAGTGCGATGGTAAAGGAGTCTTTTTTTTGGTAATTATTAATTTTACTCCATGTTTTGAAATCTAAGCATGTCTTTTCCTGTGCCAAAGTATTGTTCTGAAAAATATATTCTGTATAAAGCCTTAATCCCCAGAACATTTGGTATTCAGCTAAAGCCTGCATTTGCCTTTTACAGGTTCTTAACCAGCGTGACCTACTCTCTTCCATTTGCTCTGATGGCTGCCTGGGTGCTGTTTATAGCTGATTTTGTTAAAACACTTGTTCAAGAGAAAGATCTGAGGCTTTATGAGGTACAGTGAAACTTTCTGGGGCGTGCAAAATTATAAACAGATTTTCCTCATTAGTGGCTACTGTGTCTCATGTTCAGTATTAAATGGAGCAAAACAAGCATTAAGGAAAATAGTCCAAATACCTATTGTTTGACCTGCAGTGTTTGAATTCTGACATTGTAACTGAGCTCAAAGCCACAGAAACTCCCTTCAAGTGGAGGGAATATTGCTTTGCAGTTCTGAACAGTGGAAACATGGGCACCTCACAAAATTACAAGTTTTCTGAAGATTTAAACCTCTCTAAAAATTGACTTTGAGTCATACCTACTGGGGACAAAGACATGAAAAGTGACTTATTTCCTATCCTTGAAGTTATTATACTTAATATTTCAGAAGGTGCTACATATTACATCAGCTCCTCTGAAATGAAGTTCTTCAGGTTGCCTATTGGAAAAGAATTGACATTGAGACATAGGGAATTTATTAAATTAACTCAGGTTTTCAGTGTGATCACTGTGAACAGAGATGAACAGCAGAGAACTTTAGTAAAACTAAGCTTCAGCAAGCAACAAAAGCTCCAGCAGATTTGGGTTTTATCCAACACCATGGAAACAAATGCTGATTCGCCAAAAACATTTCCAAAAAAGGGCACTCTGTGATCTGTGATGAGATGGAAAATGAGTGAATCCCAGGGGCTCCCTGGCAGCCCCTTACTCAAGTTTAGGGAACCATTTTCCCTGTCTCTAAGGGCCAGGTGTCAGTCATCTTTTTAGCTGTGTAATAATCTACAAGAAGACACCAGCACCTGTACTTTCTTTTGGATTTATCAATACAAATTTGCAGTTTTATGCAAGTCTTGGGGACTTGATCATCAGCTAATTTAATAAATTAGTATTGCTTCCTTGTAACCATGGTAATTCAGCTATTATTTGTTGAATTGGGGTTGCGTAAGAAATGGTTTGGTGAGGGCTTTTACACTCAAGCTGCTGGACCAATTAGGATAATTCAAAAAAAAATAACCAAAATGCTTTAGAAAAGTTACAAATCTGAGGCCACAAGCTGCTTTGGAGCTTGTGAGCTGTGACAGTTGACACTTGCAGATCCTATCTGTGCTGTTCTTTTGCAATAGACTGCTTTGCAAACCTTGGGCATTCCAGGAATGTGAGTGCATGGTTTCTCCCTGGATAGAAACACACGAGGTGGCACAGTGGGAAAGAGCAGGTCCTGTCCAGGACCTGAAAAAGCAAATCATTCAATGTCAGCAGATAGATATCTTCACTTCTCCCAAATGTCTTTTGTGGTTGTTTTTTCCACCTTTCTCTCTGTAGTACATGAAGATGATGGGTGTTAATGCCAGCAGCCATTTCATCGCCTGGTTCGTGGAGTGTGCCATCTTCCTTCTGATCACTGTCACCTTCCTCATTATTGTTCTAAAAGTGGGTGACATCCTTCCCAAAACAAACACAGCACTCCTGTTCCTGTACCTCATGGACTACAGCCTGTCCATCATAGCCATGAGCTACTTCATCAGTGTTTTCTTCAATAACACCAACATAGCAGCCTTGGTGGGCAGCCTCGTGTACATCCTCACCTTCTTCCCCTTCATCGTGCTGCTCGTCATCGAGAATCACTTGAGCTTCTCTGTGAAGAGCCTCCTGGTAAGTTCTGCTTTTCCATAACATTCCTAACCATGGAATTAGATGTAAAGCCTTGTTTCTTACCAAGGGTCAGTATAGCTAGGTATTGGGTTTCAGAAGTTAGACTTGTTTTCTCTGAGTCACCAGATTCAGGAAAGGACATCTATTAATGCAAATGGTGGAATAATTAACCACATGGCACCAGAAGGTAATTCTCAAGCAGTGCTCTATTTCAAAAACCTAAAATAAAGCCCTGCATGAGGGAGGAAGTTGGGTCCTGAGTGTGGAAGCAAAAGAAAGTCAGGCTTTAAGGAGACATTACAGCCTGTCACCAGTAGTACTTCTCATCATAAGGCTGGTCCAGCGCTCTTTGTGACTGTTGGGAAACAAACTCTACTCATTTTCCTGGCTAATGGGGACCTGATTGATTACCTGACTTGACTTGTCTTTGAGACTAATTCATAAGTTCTTTGTTTTGAATTTTGTTTATTCCCCAGAGCCTCTTGTCCCCAACTGCCTTCAGTTATGCAAGTCAATACATTGCTCGCTACGAGGCACAGGGCATAGGTATGTTTATTGCAGACAAAACTAGACCTTGAGCTCCCCTGGTGGGGACATTTCATTGGCTAACACGGATTCTGACTCTATTTCCCAATTCCTTTCTGCAGGTCTGCAGTGGGACAACATGTATAAGTCCCCCATGATTGGAGACAACACTAACTTTGGCTGGATGTGCTGGCTCATTCTGATAGACTCCTTCATTTACTTCATTCTGGGATGGTATATAAGGAATGTTTTCCCAGGTAAGGATAAAAAGCATTGAGGGTGGCACTGTACCATCTCTTTTGGAAAACAATGCACACAGCAATGGCTGATTCAGTGGTTCAGGCAGTGAGACAGTCTGCACACACAGGATACCTCTGTTCTAGATCAAAGAGAGCACGACTTAGTGGATGTCTGAGCTGTTAATGACACCGAGGCAGAGCAGAGCAGGGGAGAATTAGGGTTCCTCAGCTTATTACATGGGTAGGTGGGTCTCCTGAGAAGCTGAAGCCAAGGACACAGGAGGATATGTTTGCAGTCTGGTGGGTGAGAATGAGAACAGAGCATGTTGGCCTGCATTTGTCAGCTGAGTGATTTTGAGTTGTGTTACTTACATCATTTGATTTCAAAAAGTGATTCCTGCCTTGGGCAAGAGCCAGTACATTTGTCTTCTGCTTTTCTTCCCCACCTAATGAAGCAGTCCACTGGCATAAGGAAATCTACCCAGTGGAAAACATGAAGTACTCCTGCCCTCCAGCTATGGAGTTACTCAGAATAACAAATTAGGGAGTGCTTCCTGTTGTGCCAATCAGGCAAACCCTCTACTAAGTCTCAGTAGCACATGAGCACATCAAGAGGGTAGAGATCTCTGTGAAGTTCATTTTGACTATTTTGAGTGCACCCCAAATAGTGATACTTCCTGGGGAACAGACACCTGGATGAGACTCCTCTTCCTGCAGGTAGATATGGCATGGCTGCTCCCTGGTATTTCCCATTGCTTCCATCTTACTGGATCGAATACAACGGTTACCTCCCCTTCTGGAATGAGAAACAAAGAGGCCTTCTCTTCTCCAAGCTGATGTTAAGGAAAGAAGTCACCCTCAACAATAAGATATGTATGTGGATACTACATGGGGTAGCAATGATAACTTATATTTTAGTTAAACAGAGCCAAATTTCTAAGGGGGCACCATACTCAGAAAACACATTTATCTATTGATCCTCATTTTGTAGCACAGGAAAAATTGGAAGCTGGTACTTACATGAATGGAGATTTGGCTTTTAAATTATATTTTTTCTTCCTATTTGGTGTGGAGATCCAGTACTGCTTGTCCCATGCATATTCATGTATGTTGTAGCTGGGCAGTTACCTTACGTGCTTATCTCTGTCTACAACACTCTGTGTAGAAATACACTTTTGTTTGTGCAAGCAAATACGAGTTTCCACTTGGCAAATGGGATGTTTGCTTCTTTGTTCATCTCTTGAAATGTTTAGCCTGTAAAATATTGTGAGCTCACACAGAAAAGCTTTTTTGGTTGTACCCAACTGAAAATACCTCAGCAGTTTTGCTGTATGTCCTCTAATTTTCTGTGCTTGCTTAGTGTAAATTAAGTTAGGTGCTCTGAAACACCTAGATATGAGACCTTTTCAGAAGTGATTAATGCCTATTGTCAGGAGTGATTAGAAGCTGCAGAAGTAAAAAGGAGAAATCCAGGAGAGCTCAAAATGATACAGATCCAGTGACATGTTCACAACGTTCCTGGATGAAAGGCACCTGCCTTGGCTGTATTTTGGTTTTAAAAGCCCTGCTTATCTCTGAGGTGAGAAAAGTATCACAAAGAGCTGCTGCAGTGCAGTAACTGACCTGTGCCCCTTCTCTTCGATGTCGAAGGTGCCCCCCACCCTCACCTGGAACCGGAGCCCACTGATCTCCCCTTGGGAGTCTCCCTCCATGGCATAACAAAGGTTTATGGATCCAGAGCTGCAGTGGACAACCTCAGCCTCAACTTCTATGAAGGGAATATCACTTCCCTGCTGGGACACAATGGAGCTGGGAAAACTACAACCATGTGCGTGCCCTTTAAAGCAGCTCTCTTTTATACTGTGGGGTGTGAGTGGGTGAAGGAGAGAGCAAGTGGGGCTGGGCAGTGGTGGGAGACTGAGAAACTTACTGTATTAGGCCAAAACTCTCATGTAGTTTTATCTGGCTCATGGATGACCTCAGGAGTTCCTGTATCTGTTTGAATTCTTCAGGTTCTAAAAGGTTCTTTGCTGCTTAGGGACACGCTTTTTAATCTCGTGAGACACCTGTAATACCCAGCACAGCAACTACTGAGGTGTTTTGTTCCATGGCACTTTGGTGCCTGGGGTTAGGCTGTTCTGGATGCTGTGGGTAGCTGGTGCACACACCAAAGCTGAAGCAATACTAGCAAGAAAACTTAATAAAGATACACTTCAGCTGTAGAGGCTCATGTGTTGGCTGGGCTGGAATGGCAGGGGATTAATGCATTGGCATTTCAGCCTTGCTGTTTATAAATTATTATTTGACTTGTTAGATAACAGCACTAAAACAGACCTGTAGAACTTGATTTCTCCACTGATATATATGTGCATATCTCTGAAAGCAACATTAAGCTGATAAATAGAAGCCTCAGAAGAGCCAAAACCAGTAAGACAGATGTGTGCTTCATCTCAGCTTATTATCAGTTCATCTCATATTCTGTTTGCAAAGTGTAGGCAAAGGTGATGTGCAGAAAAGTATAAAACCTTCTTGAAACTTAGTGCAGGCTTCAAATCCCGAGTAAGGTCACAAGTTACTGCTTTTTAATGATGGTTAAAAGTCCCAGGAGAGAGAGAAGCTCTGGGAAGGTGAAGGGCAGTCTGACATGCATCTCATCCCTGTAGTCCCTCCAGGACAGCTCCAAAAATGAGCTGTAATGTGCAAGTAGCTATTCTGAGCAGAGGGTGTTTGGCTCAGGTCTGTTGGCCATTTCTCGGTGGGTAATTATTTAGTTGAACTAGATGAAAGTGCTGCCCACTGTGAGGTGTCTTGTCTGGAAGTCCTCTCCCGTTTCTCATTAGTAATGGCAGTGAAACCAGTCTTCCACCTCTGATGTGGTTAGTAAATGAAGAGGTGAGTTTCAGTGTCAGTTGTGGTTACAGTATAAGGCTGTCGGGGTGCTGCAGGCAAACCTCAAAGAATGGAGTGTAACTGCATTACGTGAATTCCCAGTAATTATACTGGAAGTCGAGGGTGTTCGTGAGTGTTGGTGCATGGAATGTGCAGTGGTCTGAGTAGGGAGAGGAAGCCTGAAGAAGATAGAAGTGGCCAGGGTTCAGTGGGTGAGCTTGGTGCTTGCCCTCACGTTCCTACAGAAGGATACAGGGATGTCCATGGATGTTAATGGGCATGCCAGAGCATGGTGAGGCAGCAGGAGACACAGTGGGGAGTGGCCTCTGGCTGGAAGGAGTGGGATGGTGATACAAGGAAACCTTGAAAGTGATGACAGGTACAGGACCACGTGAAAAAAATTACCTATGGTTTTCTCCTTTTTCTAACTCCTCTCTCTCTTTGTTTTTCCTTCAGATCTATTTTGACTGGATTGTTCCCTACATCATCAGGTACTATCTTTGTGTGTGGCAAAGATATCAGGACTGACCAGGAGGTCATCAGGAAGAACATGGGGGTGTGTATGCAGCACAATGTGCTATTTAACTACCTCACCACGAAGGAACACCTGCTGCTCTACGGGTACATCAAAGTCCCTCACTGGAGTAAAGAAGAGCTCTACCAAGAAGTGAAGAGGTATAAAAACAGCAGGGTTGGAGAAGAGAGAGAAATTGTTGTGTGGTAGTGCCAGTGTCACTGCAAAGCACAAATTAATGGATTTGAGGAGAGCTGCAGATCCAGTTTAAGGTTCAAATGATACCCTGGTCTGACTACAGGAATATATTGATACCTGTGGCTGTAAGAAAACAGTGTCTCCTCTCCAGGAGGTTTACAAGCTTCTGTGGTAATTCTTTGGAGATGAATTTATAGGGCTAAGGGTCTAGTCCTTGCTGCTTTACAGTTTTCTTCTGAAAAAGATTTAATCAACCAGTCAGAAAGATGATGTTGGCTTTATTGGTTCTGCAGAGAAGTGAAGCAGCCAGAGAATCCCAGGGAGTTTGAATCTTGATGTCTCAGTTGATGGGGTTGAGCCTTTAACCTTGACTTGTCAGATGGAAACTTTGAAAACATCCTAAAAAATGTTTTAAATTAAAATCCCGATGACTGAGCTACAGGGTGACTCGTCTCCCTGCTCTGTGATCACTCAGTAGAGCAGATCATACTTGAGCAGTTTTTCATTTGCAGTTATGGGGGGTTTTTGGGTATTTTCAGATTCCCTGCTTTTAAAAGATGCCTGAAGGACAACCTTTTGGGGTTGTTTTTCCTTTGTTTTCAAGGACCTTGAAGGAGACTGGGCTGTACAGCCACCGTCACAAGCTGGCTGGTGCCCTGTCCGGGGGGATGAAGAGGAAGTTATCCATAGCCATTGCTCTCCTGGGTGGATCAAGGGTGGTGATACTTGATGAACCAACCACAGGGGTTGATCCATGCTCCCGGAGGAGTATTTGGGAAATTATCTCCAAGAATAAAAAAGGTACTGTGATTAAATGAGATGCTGCCCAGTGGCGAGGGGGACTTCATGTCACTTTTGCGAATACGGGATCAGGGGCTTTGAACTGTGGGTTTTGGAGGGCACAGAGAAAGAACTGTGGGAGACTGGGATTTTGCAGGTCTGGAGGGTGCATCCTGGTTGGTTTCTGTAAATTCAGTGTCATTTGAAAAGTAACTTTACCCTAACACAGAATTTAAAATACAGTAACTTTCAGCTTCTCTCTGCTGTTGCCTGTCATCCAATATGACTAATAATTACAAAAAAATGCAGTTGATTTTCACCTGATACTCAGTGTCCCCTCACTCATCAAGGCTTCCTCCTGTCTCAGGTGACCATGTGTGTTCATTCTGTGGTGGCTGACATCAGCTTTGTGTTTTCCAGGCAGAACCATCATTCTCTCAACACATCACTTGGATGAAGCCGAAGTTCTGAGCGACCGAATTGCCTTCCTAGAGCATGGAGGGCTTAAATGCTGTGGTTCACCTTTCTACCTCAAGGAAACCTTTGGTGATGGATACCATCTGACACTCACCAAAAAGAAGGTTTGTGTCTGAGCTGGTCCTGGAGCTGGAGTTCTGTCTCTGAGGGAGCCATCCAGGCTTGTTGAGGAATGTAGGCACTTAGAGCTGTACTGACAGGAGCTGAGTGACAGATCCAAGGATAGCAGTACCAAAGAGCTGTTGAGGATCTGGATGTGGGCATGCTGCTTCTCAGTGAGAGATGCCCACAGAACATGTGTCCCTGCTTTCCTCAAAGCAGAGGAAGGCTCTCCAGTAAGGCCACCAGAACAGCCTCCATGACCCTTGGAAACAGGAGCATCAGTGCTCTGCTTTGTTGAAAAAGAACAGGGTCTCCTTGAGTGTTAAAGACAAGGCTGGATGCAGACTGAGAACTCTGGAGTTCAGAGGAATAAAGCAGATGGAAAGAGTCCATCCACACTGTCTGGCCTGAGGCAAAGTGTTCTGCTTGCAAGGAGTGAGGAACTTTGCTCTTGACGGTGTTCATTACAGTGCTGTTGGTGGGCCCAGCACACAGAATAATGAGCAGATACCATGGGAGACCAGTCCCTCTTCCAAATTGCTGGCAGTAGAGATAGAGAAAATGAAAAAAGACCCATGTGCAAGCCTTGTTTTTCTTGGGAAAGAGAGTGTGTGTATGCTGGCAGCCAAGCTCAGGTGGCAGCTCCCTGATGGCCAGGCCTTGTCTCTGTTGTACCACAAACCCTCAAACCAGTACAGAGTGGTTGATTGAGCCCAACCTCAATCCCTGTAGGCAGAGGGAGCCCAGCGAGGTTTTGGATGGACCAAGATGAGCTCAGTGCCACACATCCCTTTTCAAGGGACAGAAACCCCCTTTCATCTGCTTTGCTATTTACCTTGGAGTGTTGAGTACCTGGTCTGAGATCACTTCTGGATTATGCTCTGGGACAGGATTTGGGCTACATCCTGCAGGAGGAAGTTTGACCTCACAACCCTCTCAGTGACCACAGATTGTTTTTCTTTTTCAGAACATGATAGAGGAGTGTGACACCTCAGCAGTGACCTCCTTGATCCAGTCCCATCTTCCAGAGGCTTATCTCAAGGAGGATATTGGTGGAGAGCTCGTGTATGTGCTTCCCCCTTTCAAGTCCACAGTCTCAGGGGCCTACCAGGCGCTTCTCAGAGCCCTGGACAGCAGCTTGAATGATCTGCACCTTGGCTGCTACGGGATTTCAAACACGACTGTGGAAGAGGTATGAGCTCAGGATCCACTGGATGTAAGGAAATGTTATGGAGATTAATTTCACAGCTCTGCTGTAGCTCTGCTTCCTGGGCTAGATGGTGGCATGTTTTGGATGTGGGAGTTTCAGGCAGGGAAGAAGTGGTTTGGTTGTACAGCGAGTTACACTTAGGAACATGTGAGTGTGTAGGTGTATCCATAAATCTATACATATACTAATGCACAAAGTTTGCACTGTCTCACCTTGCTAACAGCTCAGAAAATGAGATACTGGAGTTAGACTAAGGAGAGAGGGCAATGATGTGTTTCCCCTGGAACTATTCTCCTGGCCTCCATGCCTCTGGAGATGGGAAGGAGTCAGCAAACCATCTAAACGATGGACTTGAGCATGAATGCTGAAATCACTGTGTTGTACAATTGAGTCACCTGGTGCATCTTAGCACAGGCACCTTTCTTCCCATGGGAAATCTTTGGTCAAATAAACACATTTAATTGCATCAGAAACAAAAAGTAAATTATGAGCAGTGCTGACCTTGTCTTGCAGAAAGGAAGGAGGAAGATTGTTACCTTTCTACTCAGAAATGGTTTCTTGCTTTTAAGGTGTTTTCCCCAGGCAGCAAGAATAAGTTATACATCATGTACCATGTGCAGCTTGGGTGCTATGGCTGCACAGTCCCAGCGAGGAGGCAGTGGGGCTGTCAGAGGCTAGAGGGGAAAATATTCCAGGGAAACAGCTCTCCCTGTTTCTTCCCTGGTGCCATGCAGAGAACTCCTGTGTGCTGCTCACTTTGTGGGTGTGAGAGTAGGGTTATGTAGGGCCTGAGATGAAGTGCAGCCTTGTTCACACCTACTCACTGGCCACAGAGCAGGGGGTTCTAGGACAAGGTGAGTCCAAGGGGCAGCTGCAAAGGTTTGAATTTCCACTGCTGCAGCAGAAGAGAGACAGGAGGTGACAGGGAGCTGGACAACAACAATTTTACACTGATAAAAACAGAGCACAAATGGAATAGAAAGAGGATTGTAATGCACAATCGCTGCACCAACTACAGCTATGAAGCAGAAGAGTGGATTCTGGTAATTGTTTTGGTAAATGGAGTCATTTGGACAAATTTTCCTTCATATTTTCTTGCTATAGGTGTTTCTCAATCTGACAAAAGAGCTGGTAAAGGACCAGCAAGAAGATGCTGCACTACCCCACCAGCTGCCTGGAGCCAGTGGTCACAGTGGCAGTGACGGAATGTCTGTGAGCACAGACACCTTCACAGACAGAGACGGTACTCAATTACCTCCGGGTTTTATTCCAGATCTATCACAGATGCAAACAGTGACAGATGGACTGATTTGAGCTCCCTGTCTTCTTTCTTTGTTGAAAACCACATTTCATCCAGCCAGGAATCACAAAACCAATAAATCACTAGAAATACAGCACTCATCAGTTCTTTAGATCCTCTGGTTTGGAACAGTCTGAATCACAGGATAAATTACAGAGGGATTTTGTTTGCATCTGCCTTCCTTTAAATTGATCCAGGTTTTAAGCTAATCAAATACAGCGTGTGGGTGAAAGAGTAAATGTGTACCTCTGAAAGTAATTGCTGTAATAGATGTAGCGGATTATTTCTCCATAAGTAGCAGAATTGGAAAGAAACTTTGTGGAAACCCCTTAGTCTGTTAGAAAAGCAGCACAGCTCTGAGCTGGCTCCTCCTTGCTACTTTTTTGCTGTGTCCCAGATGTTGCTGTATGGTAAAGGAGCCCAAAGGACCAGACAGTGCAATAAATTCACATTCAGAAGAGGATCAAGCTACCCCACTGTCCCTGAGGGCTTGAGAGCTGCTGAAGGTGGCACAACCCCAAAATGGCCAAATACCTGGTTGAAATGCTTTCTTGGGGTAGAAACATTTTTTTCTACTTAACACCATTTATAGTTAGGGAGGCATCCAAAGGGCAACTCAGAGGTATTTTTGTATTCACTTCTCAAAGCTGACCTGCAGTGTAAATGTTACTGTAAACAGTCACTCATGTGTAGAGAAGTGTTTTGTGTCACCCTTAAACAGAAGATTGAAAAGGATTTGCTTCATGTTGTATTATATAGGTTAATATTTCATGAAGAGGAATAGGTTGCACAGGATTTTGGCTCTACTTTCACTGTACCACAAAATCTCTCCATGCACAAGGTCAAGTGGTTTGTGCTTGTTTTCTAATTTCAGGATTAATTCTGTTATTGATTTTTCTGAGGACCTGTTTTTTAAATGATGAAAAATTTCAGTTTGTAAATCTAAGAATAATATGCTTCCCCTGTAAGTTGTAGCTGGGTAGGAAGAATGTAGATAACTTAGAGCATCTGTAAGTCCGTATTTCTCTTGCAAGATCTAAACTGAAAATCAGTACATGTACACATTTGAAATGAAATAAAAAGACTGGTGTTACATGAGCTTAAGACTCAAGCCAGAATCTGAGTCCTGTCCCAAGCCTGACCCTGTGCATGTTCCAGCTTAGTAGTTTTGATTTTCCATCTTTAAGGGTGTGCAGGAGGAGAAATGTACTCCCAGAGTACTATAACCATCAGTTCCCTGCACTGCACAAATACTCATCCATGACAAACGTCTTCCTTTGTACCCAGATCAGCTCCTGATCAGATCCAAAAGCCTGCAGGGTTTGCCACTGCTGCTGAAGAAGACTTCAGCTTTGTTCATCAAGAGATTCCACCACACCCGGCGGGATGTCAGAGGCTTCATCGCTCAGGTCATCCTCCCAGTCCTCTTCGTGATGGCTGCCATGGGACTTGGGACACTGAGAACCAAGGAGACCGAATATCCCGAGCTCCTGCTGTCCCCCTCTCTGTATGGCACATCTGACCAGGCAGACTTCTTTGGGTGAGTGGTGGTCTTGGTGACTCCTAAACACATTGGGTTATAATGAGCCAGTTTTGCCTTCAGGATTATTTCTAAGCATAGCCAGTGGAGAAGTGTTAGTGTAGTTATGTTATGCAGTTATGTAGAAATCCTGTCCTAAGGGATCTCTGGGGCAGATGGCTTGGTTCAGACCAGCAATTAAAAAGCTCCAGAAGAACAACCTCTCAGTTGGAATTAACTATGAAATGTGTGAGGAATGTTCTTGGTGTTTCCATTGGAGTCCTCTGGCCCTTTGACAGCCATAGGAATTTTCTTGATATATACACACTTGCCCCAGTGAGAAATGGAGGTCCCCGCGTCAGTTGTCTCCAGCATTACAACTCTGGGATTAAAATTCTATCCATCCTGTGAGCTGTCTGCATCACCCTCCTCTCTGTCAGTACAGAACGTGCTTTCCTGCCTAGGCCCTGCTAGTCCAAGCCACACAGGCAGTTTGAAGAGCATGTGCTTCTCCAGCATGATTAAGATGTCACCATTTAATTACTTCATTGTGCTTAAAAATCCTATTACCAAAATGATTATAATTTGTATCATCCTGTTTTCATGTTGTGAACTTCTTTCCTTCTCCAGTGGTTCTCAGCTCTAAGTCAGAAATATAAAATTTAGCTCTAAAGCAAGTGTGCCTGCTCTAGGTGTCCTTTCCCAGGACTGCTCATGCCTTTCTACTTCAATCCTGCTAGATGGGGGAATGAGCCAGAGCTGCATGTCCAAGTCCTCTGTTCCTAATGTTCCCAGCTTCTCCTGATGGATCATTGCTAGAGAGCTGGGGCAGAACCAAGGAGCTTCAAGAATGACCAAAGCCAAATGGGTGTCACAGATGAGAGAGCTGATTGAGACAAGGCTGGAAGTAGTGCCTGCAAATTGCAGTAGTTGCATTTTCCCTGGAAATAGAATCTTGATTGTCCAAAAGTTCATCAGTATCTTGCTTGGATCTAGAGGCACTGGAGTAGCTCCAGGTGTTGGGCAGTCCTTTTAACCAGTGTGACTGTTCTCATGTACTGCATGTACTTCAGTGATGTTTCCACAAATATTTATTGAACACCTTAAATATATCCTGTCTCATTCAAACAATTTTCCTCTGCTTAGTAATAGTGGAAGTTCTTTGAACCTTTTCCTGTTTTCTTTTTTCTTTGTTAAATCTTAGGAATTTTAATGAAACCACAGGTGCTTTAGTTGCTTCGATGCTTGCTTTCCCTGGAACGGATAACACGTGCATGAACGAAAGCAATTCGTAAGTAGTTGTTGGGTTTTTTCCCACTTAAACTCTGAATCTGCAAGGTAATTGGCATGACATTATTAGCCATTAGACCTTAATAACCATCTTTGATCATCTTCAGAATTTTCATGCATTGGTGCCACCTGCAGAGAAAAGGCTCTGCCTGTCTCCAGCTTGGCTTGCAGACTCTTTCAGCTCCTTAGGAGAGGCTCACTGACCATTTGCTTGGATGTGAGTGAGCTGTGAGCAGGGAGCTATGTAGACCTGGTTGGTGTAAAGCAGACCTCAGCCCTGCTGAGAGCTTGGAGTGAAGGCTTGAGTCTGCCAGCCCAGAACTGTAGATGTTCTTAAAGGCAGGAAACTACACTGTGCTTTAAGGAGTTCCACATGGCCCCAGGACCCTGACACTGATGTTCTTTGCTTGCCTCAAGTATTCACCACCACAAGTGGGCTCCTTTATTGCTATGAATAGTGAGGAAGCAGCTTTGGTGGTGGCAGGATGCCAGGATGAATCAAGCAATGCTCACCTCTGGGAAGTGGTCCTAGCTGTCCCAATAATACCAGTTATATAGTGAGCCCACAAAGCAAGTTCTCAGCAGAGCTTTGGTTACCTCTATGTAAAAGCTGTGTCATGAGGGCTGGTTCATTCTAGGCTCTGCAGATAAATTCTCAAGGAACTGGTAGTAAGATCCTGGGCAGACTTGCATGGTTGTGTGTGCCATGTATCTGCAGGCAAATATTTATCCTGGGAATTTACAGTGACAGCCTGGGCAATACGGTCCATCACAGGACTGCCCAGCTATTGCCTGGACAACAGCCCTTATTCCTGGGCTCTTTTGAGATGCTTTTGGCCTTTGTGTGCCAACTCCTTGCACTGTCTACTGTGGGAAAAGTGGTGTCTGGATTCTTTTCTGAGCAACTGAGCGAATCCAGGCGCGGGGAGCTGCGAGGGCTCTCTGCCGAGAGGCACGAGAACAGCAGGAGGAGGGGTATTCCCTGAAGTGCCCAGAGCTGACAAGAAGGTCTGCTTTTTTGCTGAAGCTGCTCAACTGGCAGCCTTGCTGTCATTAAACATGACAGCAATTAGCTTCGTTTGCACACCTGAGCATGGAGAGCCTCAGAGGAAAATGTGTTCGTTTTCAGGCAGTGTTTGACAGAGGACATGCTTGGCCAGTGGATTACCAGTGGAAACCAGGGAACTAAGTATTCTGCCTGCAACTGCACAGATGGCATCCAGGTAATTTGGATAAACCCAAAAGTGAGGGGGCTTGGGGGGATTTTTGGGGGGCCTTGTATGTTGGGAGTGGTTTTATGGGCAGGCATGATGCTAAGGGTGACTCAGCGTTCAGAATCCTCCTGTCTCTCTTTGGCCTTTTTGATTTTGTACACTGGATAACCACTGTCTGCACCAGCTTGGGGCCAGGAAAGGAAACAGCCTCCTCATAAGATTCACACTCTTATGTACCTGCCTCACTCCCCACGGTAGAAAAAGGTTTAATGGTGTTTTTGAATGTCGTTTGATTGTCCCATTTAGCAGAGGTGAGTGTGTATTCAAGAGGAAAATTTCATCTTATACAAGCACTGTCATTATATAAAAGCACAGCTATTATTGCTGCTTGCTCTTCAGAATTTAACTTTATGCAAAGTCTTGATCTGCTCCTTGTTATAAAAAATTATGATTAATAATATTAATTATTTGCATTATGATGGTACATACAGAGCCAGATAAGGGCACTGCTGGGCTTAGTGGGGAAGAGGCAGATTCTGCCCCAAGTGTGTTACAGTTTTACAGTTCAGTTTGGGGTTGAGCTCTCCTCCCTCCAGTGCTGTTCACCTGTCTTCAGCTTTTTTCTAGTAGAAAATCAGACTTGTGGCACAGTGTGAAGCCATTTGTAAGATAAAGGATGTACTTAGTTGAACATTCTTAGTCATTCTTTAAAATGCAGCTATTTTCTGCAGTTTTCTGGACATACACTTAATTTCACATCATTAAAAGTATTGGCATAATTTCTCCAGTAAGTCAGGATAATGTTCAAAGCTGATTCTCACCTCCAGTGGGCACAGGCAGGTGTTCCTCAGCATGGAGGAAACTGTTCTGTGTATTCTGATGAACACATGCACAATGGGGGAGTGCAGGGCTTTTGTTATGGATGAACTGAAGGAAGCAGCCAGCGTGCTGTCTGGTAGGACACTTCAACCTCATGAAACAGTCCATGTGACTTTGACCCTCACTATTTTAAATTATATATTCAGAACTAATTCAAGGTTTCTCTGAAGCCCAGGAAAACATTCCCAGTGACTGACATTAAAGCAGAAATGTACAGTGTAGCTGCTGTGAAATGGAAGATGAGAGTTTGAGGCCACCACAGTTTTCTGCTCTGTGAGTTGTTTTGCCCTCTGCAGTTGTCTGTGCAGTCCCTCAGCTAAGTAGGATCAGCCTTAATTCAGCCAGAATCTTCGTGCATAGCATGAAGTACATTTCAAGGTCTCACTGATGTCAGTAGAACTGAAGTGTAGATTTAAGCCAAGGTTGTTTATAAGCACCTCCCTAAATATGCTGGGACAGTATGCAGGGATGTGTGCTGTGTGTCTGTGCACACTGCTTTCTGAAGGATCAGCTTCTGTAGGAATCAGTCTCAGGACCAGAACGTTGCCATTGCCTGCTCTCAATCCTGTCCTGATATGGTAATTTTTAGTTAAAATGCAAACACTAACATTTTTCTTCATTTGTCTCTGCTCAGACATGTCCACAGATGAACTACACTCCCCCTCACAGAAGGACCTTCTCCACACGGACACTTTACAACCTTACAGGGCACAATGTGGAGACCTATATCCTGGCAACCACCAAAGACTTCCTGCAGAAACGGTACGGCACAAACCTCCAGTCCCTCTCTGAACTGCACTGGGAGCAGCCTCTTACACCTGTCATGTCCTTGTGCTTGGAGAATTGACAGTGCAGTGGGGGTTAGAAGGGCCTCTCTGGGAATCTGGTGAAGGGAGGAAAAGTGTCCTGCAATCAAGGAATTAAAGGCTTGTGCAAGTGCTCTGCTTGATCATAGCAGAGATAGCCCAGGGATAACGTGTCAATCACTGGATATGTTGGGGCTGGATCTGCAGACAAGGCTTTGTCTGACTCAGAAATCTTTAAAAAGAGGAAAATCTGACTCAACCTATCATGAAGTAAACCCTGAGGAGAGACTTTCCTCCAGGTTTGAGTCTCTGAAGAGCCTCGGTGTGTGCCTCACTTGAACAGGCACAGCCATGCCAGTGAAAGCAGAGGCTGAATGTTGCCTTGTGCCATGGGGCTGTTGGAGCTGTTAGTGTGTCTGGACTCTGCCACACAGCAGGGCTTGGGGCAAAAGTAGCCTGTCACTAAGGTTGTCAAGGAGTGTGTTCATCTGCCACTGATAAACTGAGCCGTACACCTCCTGGGTAAGAAGCAGTCACCTTACTCCAGTGTGGCAGGCACGCAGGTTAGGAGTCCACACGGCTCCAGAATCTTTCTCAAAGGGAGGCTTTCAGCACAGTTTTGTGATTGTGTTGCTAAGTTTCTTTCTCTTTTTGCCCCGCCAAAAGGGCTCCTGCAGCAGTGGTGGCTTGGCCCTACACTGGGATAAGTTCTTTCAAGTCAAGCTGGAATTCCCTGGGGTGGCAGTGGCATGTTGGCATGCACCAGCCAAGGGTATTAGAGTGTTTAGATAAGGGTAGCAATGCATTTCCCTCTGGTTTTCACCCAGGTATGGTGGCTGGAGCTTTGGGCTGCCTTTGACATCAGATCTCCAGTTTGATATCAAGCCAGTGCCCCCCAACAGAACACTGACCAAGGTAACTAATCTCCATCTCTCTTCCTGGCATGGGGAGCGTGGGATCCAAGGGAAGTGATGTTGAATTCATGGATATTGCAGAAAAGAAAGAGAAACCTCCTGAAATCCTCAGCTTGGTATGACAGAGATGACTTGCAGCTCATTTCCTTTTCTTTCCCCATTCTTCTTTATTGGTCTGACTTCTCTTGCTAGCAGGAGGCAATTTTTCTGCTGTCATAATTTTATTACACAGAGGTGAAAAGATCAATTAGTAGCACCTTTATCTCATGAGGAGATGTATGTACTGTAGCGAGGGCTGGCTGGTGCATTCTGATATGCCCATTCCTCTGGTTCTGCTCAATGAAAATGTTGTAAAGCACCAAGGCTGAAATCTGAGGTAGCAGGAAAATGCAAGAGAGCTGACAATATCCTGTGCCCTCACTGCAAAACCCAGCTGCCAGGAGAGTGTCCCTGCAGGAGCAGAGATGTTTGCAGAGAGGGTTCCAACAAAAGGGTTTATCATAGGTCAGAAAAGTTGTCTTGGGAAGGGAAGGGCTGTTGCTGAATGAGAAGGTGACAATTGGCTATTTTTTGCCCTAAAGCAGTTTTTTCCCCTGGTTTTTGAGGGGTCTTAGACACTGGGCTGCTCAGCTGCCTTGGGGAAATCCCCACTGCTGGTGTTCATCAGATCTCAGCAACGTATTACAGAGAAGGAACCAAATTTCTGTACATGTGGTCACATCTCCAGCTGGTGCTGCTTCTCTCCCAGAAGGCAGGTGAAGCTGATGGGCCTCCTTGTGCTGAAAGAGAAGTTCTGCTTTTATTTTATTCCTTGACATGGTTTAGTCATTGCTCTTTAACCTGCAGAGCTTATGACTTTAGATAGCAACCATGGAATGATTCGCTCGTGCAAGCAGAACAAACCAAACGTTATCAGGAACATCTCTCCCAAATTGTTTCAATTTCTCAATTGTGTGCAGGTGTGGTACAATCCTGAAGGTTATCACAGCCTCCCAGCCTATCTCAACAGCTTGAACAACTTCATTCTTCGAGCTAACTTGCCAAAAAATGAGACATCCAAATATGGTAAGTGTTCCTTTACACGAGCAGATAAATTCTCCCCTTTGATGGGGATATCCTGGTTCTGTTGAAATCAATGACAACACTTACCTTGACTTCAATGAGGCCCTTTCTTTACTCACAATTCTGCAATTCCTTTAAAAACAGAATTGAAAAGCATGAATAGATCACATAGTTCATTTGTCTTAGTCAGAGACTCAGGGGAGCTGGACAGGGAGGACCCCAGCTCCCACATAAAACACTTCATCCAAGAAATGCCAGTGGTCGCTCTTTGATTTATTGCTTCTCCTCATGGCACTGGAATAGCTGTCCTTGATACATGCCCATTAGTTATGCATAGAAAAGCTACTTCAGGTCGTCTCCGGGGGTGGTTTAGATTAGGAAATTTTAATATGTCACTCTTCTGCTGAGAGCAGCTCAGGGGGTGTGGGTATGTGTGTGCTTGTGTCTGAATGAGAGTGGGGAGAGTGAGATTAGGTGAGAAATATAATTTTCGGTTGTATTTTTCCTCTGACACACGACATACACAGATCCAAGGAGCGTTAGTAGCCCATGTGGGGTTATCTCTTCTCATAGCTTGGTAATGTACTGCAGCAACCCAAATTCCTGCTGATAAAGCAGGGCACCCTGTCTTTCCCTTTCCAGCATGGGCAGAAGCCTGTCTGTGTGCATGCCTGTCTCCAGACATGAAGGGGCTGCAGGGACAAGAGAGAGACTTATGCTGATGCCGATTTGAGAAATCTCATACAGGAATTTTTGGACTCTGTTTTGCTAAGAGCAGCATTTGTGTGCAGAAATGCCCTCCTGATTGGCTTTCTTAGACAAATGGTGCCCTTCCAACCATGTCCTGGTCAAGCCCAGCTCCCCTCAGCTGAGTGTCCTGCTGTCCTAGATAGGTGACAGTGTCTCCTTCCTCACAGGACTGTTCCTCACTGACATGTCTGGATTGAGCTAGAATGGAACAGGCATGGGTCTGAAGCTTTGAGTGTCACACCATGAATTAAAGAAACAGCAGATGCTGATTGCAAGTCAAACCAGCATGTCCTGCTTCCCACCTCAAACACCAATGCAACGAGGGTCCCCTCACAAGTGGAACCAGTGCCTGGTCCCTGTCACCATCCCAAAACACCCCTCTGAGTTTGCAGCGAGCCCCCCAGGTCAGATATCCCAGAGATGCAGCCCCTGCCTTGCTGTGAAGAGAGGAGACTGGAGTCAGGCCCTTCCAGTGGTGGGATCATCACAGAGCAGCTGAATTATTAAGCAGAGAAGCTTCTTGCTCTGTCTCAGTATTCCCTACACAGGCTGTAGCAAGAGCAAAGGCAGGAAGCTCGTGTGAACAGCCAGAAAGTTTGCACAGGGAAAATTTTATACCAGCAAAATAACGATTTTCAGTGGGAAAGAATAGCAGTTTTTATTCCATCTGTCCCGCTCCTTATGTGTTTTTGGAAAGAAATGCTTAGTAGTAAATGACCAGACAGATAATTCTCTGCTTCCCACTAATCATCCAGGCCATAGAATGGGAGAAATAAAGTGAATGGATGAGGATGGCTCCCCCGAGGTAAAGTAAATCCAGTTTGAAATACAATTGAACAGACGTTCTGCAGGGTATGGTCCTGGCAGCTCAATCTATTTGTTGTTGTGACAAATAAATGATGGTTTAAGAACCATTGAAATGGCCAGATAAAAGTGTGTTGTCACTTCAGCAGCTGGAAAGAGGTGCCAGTCTTGCTTTGGAGGTTTGACTTAGATTGTGCATATTTTTTTAAAAAATGCATGAAAAGCTTTTTACCCTGTCACTAAGCAAGTCATAATAGCTTTTGACTTATGTATATTGTGCTTTCTCTTCTCTCAATCCCAACCAACAAAAAAGAGAAAGCATTGAAATGGAAATTTTGACTTCTAGCCTAAGCTTCAGTAAAGGAAAATGGCTTTATAGTGAAGTATTAACAGATTAGACAGACAGTATCTTTCTTTCTTTCTCTCTCTCCCTTTCGGAGAAGGGGAACATTTCCTGTCTGTGAGTCTTTATCAGCAGTCCAAGATTTTAATTCCCTCTCTCTCCCTGATGACAAGACTGAGGTTTGGTTCTTGGAGGTTTTTTTCCTCTAAAATTAATTTCCTATGAAATCCTCCTTTCAAATTCATTTGCTTAGTATGGCATTTGGTCAGCTAAACCCACAGGCTCCTCCTTCCTGATCCCCATGTCAGAGTGCTCATTCCTAGGGAAAATAACTCAGAATAATTCTTCATCACCTAATTCCTCGTCTGGCACCTGGCTGTAAGGAGCTTAAACTCCAGAGGTGGGATGTTCTAGAAAATCTGTCTAGCAGCTCTCCCTGAGAACCAGAGCATTTACTGAAGTGCCTAAATATGAATTGAGAACTTCATTTTTAAGCACACAAACATCTAAACTCCTTCTCAAGTGCAGGAGTCTTAGAGACTGGGCTGTCTCTTGGTGGGACCATGGCAGAGACTTGCACTGGAGGATGGAACTGGCCCACCAGAGCCCCCCCATGTCCTTCCTTTTGTTTTTATAGGCACAGGTTGCCTCCAAACACAGCAAAATCACTGTGATGAACAATGTTAGTATATTTTGGGCTCAGTGTTCTCCTTGGTAAAGAAGTACTTACACCAAATCTGAAGATACCTGCACACCAGCGGAGAATTTCTCTCTTGCAGTTTGTGCCTGATACAAACCCATTTTAAAGGATTTAAAGAAAAAAAACCCAGGGACTTACCAATGCAGTAACTAGATTTTACTAGTTCCTTTGAACAAAGTGCTCTTTTTTTTGTTTTTCTTAAGAAAAGAATAGTTCAGAATTAACTCACTGCCACACTGGGAACAAAAGTGTCTGTACCTTACTTGGGTTTATGCTCATATCTCCCCAGTTCCCATATTGAGGAAGACATATGTCACAGGAAGGTAATAGTTGTGAAGAAAGGCGGTAGGGAAAGATTTGTTTCTGATGATAAAAGAACAAATGGAATGAGGGGAGATCATCAAACAGCAGCTTTAAAACAAAACATATTCATCAGTTTTGAAGGTGTCAGTGTTGAAAATCTAACCTGAAACAAGCATGTGCCTAATTTTAGGTGTGGGAGTGCTGAAGGGAATGATGCTGTCACCCAGACAGATGCACAAACAAGGCCTAGGGTTTGAATTTCAGATCTGCTGTGCAGCAGAGTGAAGTCACAGGAAAAATGAGAGTGCTCAAGATTCTGCCCAAGATCACACTGAGATGACAGAGCTTTTTTTGATCTGCTTTTCTTCTCTACTCACAGTTTTCTGTATTACTGTCAATATTACTGTCATATCAGGAGCTGATGAAGAAAGCTTTAAGTTGGACACATTTTCAATTTCTTTTCTTATTGTGTTTTTTTTTCTTGGTAGGTATTTTCTTATCAGCTCACCCATATCCTGGAGGACAGAGTCAAGAGCAAGTAATGTAAGAGAATTCATTTGGCTGATGCCTGAATTCTTCAGCTTCAAAAGGAGCAAATCAGCTTCCTGGAAACCATAAACCAACCTAAATTGCTGAATATCTTTCTCTAAATGATGAAACTGTTCTCTCTTGTTCCCTCTATTCGTGAATAGTGTCTTGCTTGCCACCAGAGCTGATTCCCACGAGGGTTTCTTTGCAGGATCCCATATAGATCTGGAGGCTGCAGTTACAACATCCCAGATTTGTGTGCTTTGGCACAATAATAATAATAATAATAATAATAATAATGCCATCATTTTCCTTTTGGCCCTTCCACTACGTGCTATGGTACAGCACCGTGACTCAGTGCTGTGAGTCCTTTTTCTAGGCCTCATTAACATCAGCAAAGAGAGGAAAGAAAGAAAGGAAGGAATTCTCCCCTGTGAGGGTGGTGAGGCTCTGGCACAGGTTGCCCAGAGAAGCTGTGGCTGCCCCATCCCTGGAAGTGTCCAAGGCCAAGTTGGATGGGGCTTGGAGCAACCTGGGATAGTGGAAGGTGTCCCTGCCCATGGCAGGGGGGTGGAATGGGATGGTCTTTGAGATCCCTTCCAACCCAAACCATTCCATGATTGTAAAGGATGCTGTCCCAGAGTCAGGACCTTGTTGCTTCTGAGCTCTGAACAACCCTCTTCAGAGAGGGAAATCTGCCACCCTGACTCACCACATACATCCTTCTCCACTTTCTCCCCAGGCTCAACAGTTTACTCGACATCATAGTGTCCATGTCTGTTCTGGTTGGCTACTCCATCACGACAGCCAGCTTTGTGCTCTACATGGTCAAAGAGCATCAAACCAAAGCCAAACAACTGCAGCATATTTCAGGCATTGGGATGACAACCTACTGGGTGACTAACTTCGTTTATGATCTGGTAAATAATTCACATTCCTAAATGCACCAAGAGTAGCACTACACAGTGGGGGGCAGGGGGGGAAGTTCTTTATTTAAAGTTCATTGCCTAGACTTATTATTATTACTACCCAGAGTGTTATGTAGTGATTGTTCTCCAGGGCTCTGAAGACTATTAAGTGCAAACCACAACACTGGGTTCTGCCAAGCGAAGGCATTCCTTCTCTCTGGAGTGTGTGCAAAGCACTGCACATTTATTGGAGAGCAGCATGGAACAGGCTGGAGCTTGGTTCCCATTTGACATGGAAGCAGCCAGCTGCTCTGCTGCCAGTTGCAGGGCTGGATCCGCTGTCACACAGGCCCCACACATCTGGGGTGAGGCTTTGGGGCTCAAGGCTACAGCTGTTTGGGAACTCTGGGTGTACAGGGTGGGGCATTAGCACACATCCTACAGCTGACACAACTCTCTTGGGCAAAAATCCATTTCTGGGTTGAATGATCTCTTTAAGATTATGTATTATAAAGATTTTAATCCAAATGCAGGTATATGCATTCCAGGACATGGGCAAGTTCCTTTTCACGGTGCTGTGTAGATTTACCAGTTTGTTCCTTGTTGAGCTGCCCAGAACTGTGCTGCACTCCAGGGTGTGGGCATGCCCTTGTTCTCCCTGAAGTTCAGTTTCCTCCTGGTACAGTGGGTTAATAGCCCTGCTGGAAAGCGTTGCTGAGCTAAGAGGGTGAATATGCACAGTGTCTGGAGACTGAATGTCTTATGAGTTGCCCCCTGTGCGTGGGGTCAGACCCTCCCTCAGAGAACAGCCAGCGCAGGCAAGCTCAGCTCATGAGCCTTGGCATTGCCAGCTGTGCTATAATGGGAATCAGCTCCAGGTGTCCAGCAAATTTCTACTGAGGCAGTTCTGCTAGTGCCTAAAATCCCAGTGATATCATCACTTCCTGAAAATAGGGAATCTTCAAGGGCATTTGGGTGTCCAGCCCCCTTTGGTGCAGGGAGGGCTAAGGGCTGAAATCCCGTGGGGAATGGGAGCCTTGACTCTTTCTGCAGAGCACAGCCAAAGCTTCTGGGTGTACTGGTAACACCAACACACACCAACCAGGCAGTGACCAAAGCATCACAACTGCCTGCCTGGAGGGGCTGCTGTGGTTAGTCAGCAGCACAAGGAGGGGCTGAAAAAGGGTCCGAAGGCAGCGTGGCTGCAGTCAGGCTTGGCAGCACAGCAGGGAGGATGGAGCAGGCCTGTGCCTGCCTCCCTGATCCAGGCGCTCGCTCCAGCACTGCATATTTGTATATCAGCCTGTGGAAAAATCCCTGGAGTCCCTGCACAATCAGTATTCAGCGGGCTGAAACTAATCCAGCACTCTCAGCAACTTGATATTTCTCAGTGAATCCCTGCCAGTAAATTCTGCTAAATCCCAAAGCTGGGGAAGAGAGGAACCTCTCAAGGCAGACGTTTGGTAGCTCTCTGGCTTGGCTCAACATTATAAAGACTAGATTTACAGGGCACAATGAAGTGGTCTGACTGCAAGGCTAACAGAAAACCCAAAGGGGTATTTTTTATTCACAACCTTTTTTTAAGGTACTTTCTGCCTGCAGTCCTCAATGTTGAGGCTTTGCCTATTCAAAGTGGCTTTGTGGGAATTCACTTGCAAGCCTGGGGAGGACTGAGACCCACCTGTGTTTGGTTTCCCTTAGGATGCCCAAGCTGCACTTGTGGGACTAAATTCAGTCCTGGCTTTGTTGCTTCTGCTTTGTTCTAGGGAAGTGTTTAAGAACTGTTGTCCCAGTAACATCTTTTTAATATCATTTTGCAGGTACTTTTTATGGTCCCTGTTGGACTCTCAGTAGGAGTTATTTCAGCCTTCCAGATCCCAGCTTTCTGCAACAACAGTAACTTACTGGCAGTATTTCTTCTGCTGTTACTGTTTGGGTAAGTGTGGAGCTTAGTTATTTAAGTATCCCTGCACAGAGTGAGGAACTGGATATTGCAAGCTGCTGCACCTTGAAATCCAAGGGGAGAATACGTGGGCTTTTTCCTTTCACACACTTTACAAACAGTGACAAGTTACTCCTTCCAGGAGCAGGGAGGTGAACCACTGCTGCCTGCTTTATTTTAAGCAAACCCTACGTGAGGATATGGAAATATTCAAGGTCCCAGTGACAGCCCAAGCTGTAAGCAAATGCTTACTGAACTATGGCAAAGTTCAAGAGATAGAGGCATTTCAATATCAGAGAGCAAAATAAACAGCAGCACAATTCAGGAAGACTTAGTCAAACTGTCTCCCTGCCTTTGAATCCTCCAGGCCCAGTCTGTTTGTTTTCAGGTGGGGTTCCATGTTCAAAGTATGTATCGTAAACATTTTCTCCAAATTCTAACAGACACAAAGTCAGTTTTCCTTCTTTAAGCTCTGTAATGTGGAAATATAGTCATGTGCCAAAACAGAACTGTTATGTTATGTTCCATCCCTGGCAGAGCTCAAGACCAAGTTGTACAGGGCTTGGAGCAACCTGGTCTAGTGGAAGGTGTCCCTGACCCTGAGAGGGGGGTGAGACTGGGTGGTCTTTAAGGTCCCTTCCAACCCAAACCTTCTATGATTGTCTGATGTGTTCAGTTGTTTGCTTTCAAAGCAGCTTTTTGAGTTACTGTGGTGTTCTCTGCACTGTTGGTAATTTCTAGGTACGCATCGTTTTCATGGATGTACCTGCTGGCTGGGTTCTTCAAGGAAACGGGGATGGCCTTCATTGTGTATGTCTGTGTCAACTTGTTCTTCGGCATCAATACCATTATCACACACTCAGTTGTATTTCTGCTCTCCCAGGAAAAGGCCACAGACCAGGTAGGAGCCCTATTAATACCAAACCCCTGGTGAAACAGCAGGAGGCTTCTTGTGGATTTGGTGGCTTTGATCAGGTCCTCGCAGCTGGACATTAATCACGGGACTTGATGGGGTTCCCTACAGACAGGACACAAGTCACATACAGATCCTGCTTGTCTGTAAATCTGCACCCCTAGCAGGGAAGAAAATGGTGATGACAGAGGGGAGAACACAAAAGGAGAGGTAGAAAACTGGGGACCCTTTTTCTAGCTATCCTGGTGATGGAAAATGAAGGGCAGGAGTGGGGTGGAGATCTTTGATGGACACTTCAAAGCATTGCTGAGTTCTTGCAGCACAAACTGTGGGGAGTGACAACTAAATGTCACTGCCCTGGGCCTGATGTGCTGCATTAAGCCCAGCATCAGCTCTCTGTCATCTAGATCTGTAATGCAGTCATCTTCTCCCTGCAAGAATGAAAAATGACTAAGAGATGGTGATGACTCCCTAAAGTAAAGCCTTCTCTTAAACTGAGATATCCTTGGGATAAAATGTACACCTTACACTTAGGTTCCTTTTTTATGGAGGGCAATTACTTTGTACAACAATAGCTGGGTTGGATTTTTCTCTCTAGCTGGACAGAGCTTATTCAGCAACCCCGTGGACTTTAGGGACATGCAGTTATGATCATCTTTCATCCCTCTGTGCCCCAATGGCAGGGAGTCAGTCTCTTTCTAAGCTAATTTACTGCCTCTCCACTTTGCTGTGTGCACTAATCCTTTCTTCTGCTAGAGATGTACCAAACCTTTACTGTGAGACTGTGCACTGGGCTGCTTTTCCATGAATTCGCTGGAAAAGCCCTTCTAGATCTAGTAAAGCCAAATCTGTTTTATGGAGATGTTTGTCCAAGGAAAACAGATAGGACAGTGCTCCAAGGGAGCAGACAGTGCTGCAGAGGAGCTGTGCTGTACAGTTTTGGGGGGCACAGTGCAGCTCAGTGGCAGGGTTCAGCTCTGGCCCGTGGGTGGGTTCCAGGTGGCTGGAGCAGCAGTGAGGGACCACACTGGGAACTGGCTGCTGTTTACTATGGGTGATCACAACCTCAGAGCTGCCTGTTGACTTTTATAACCTTGTGCCTGTGAAACGAGCTGTCTCCAGAGCTCTTTGCTCTCAATTTATCTCTGCTCTGAGACACAAGCAAATCCCAGTGTAATTGTTACACTTCAGTCCCACAGTAAAACCTATGAATTTATTCCATGAATAAAAGCAGTGACTGACTGTTCTGTTCTTTGTTTTTTACCAGGGCTTGCGTGATCTTGCTGAAAATTTAAGGCATGCATTCCTTCTGTTCCCACAATTTTGCTTTGGCTATGGCTTGATTGAACTGTCGCAGGATCAGGCACTGCTGGGCTTCTTAAAAGCCTATGGAGTGGATTACCCTGACAAAACCTTTGAGCTAGACAAGACCACATCCAAGCTGTTTGCCATGTTTATCCAGGGCACCGTGTTTTTTGCCATTCGCCTTACAGTTCACGACAGGATGATTCAGAGAGTCCGGAGCAACATACTGGAGTAAGTAACATCTGGAACCCTGCAATGAAAACAGATCAAGCCAGAGCTCAGTGGTTTCATTCTGGGCTCTCACACCATCATTGTCAATTATGAAGCCCATAAATTTCCAAGACACTTTGCAAACATGGAGTAAGTTTCCTCTGGCAGCAGTCCCAGTAAGTGGAGTATTAACTAACAGAGGTGCAGGTTACCAGAGTCCCTTGGCCTTCTGTGCTGGCTGGGACTGCAGGGCTCTGGGGTTGGTGGGTGGATGTTCAGTGGTTCGGTGAGTGGTTGGTAAAAGCAGCCAGTCCATTGACAACCTCTCTTTGAATCTCCCCCTCTCCTCAAAGAGGAGTGAGAACATTCCTGTCACCTGCAATAGCAGTGTGTCCACAAGGCAGGACCTCCTCCAGCTCAGAATATTTGCTGAAAAAGAGGAAAAAAATTAGGCAGAAAGAGAACGCTGGGCTTTTTAATTCCCTAAATGGAGCAAATATCAGGAAAGAACAGAACCTGTCTATCTGAGTATTTAGTGCACGCCCTGGACCTCACAGGAGGGCTGCTTAGGATCTCTCCCAAGCACAGAGGCCTCTGCTGTCTGCTTGCTGAGGGAAAGGTCCCCCTGTCCTCCCCGCAGGTTCCTGTTCGACAGAGTGCACGGCAAAGCATCACTCCTGCCCCCTGCGGAGGAGGACGTGGATGTCCAGGCGGAAAGGAGCCGGGTGGAGGCTGGCAAGGCTGACTTCAACGTGGTGCAGCTCCAGAACCTCACAAAGATCTACCACCTTCCTCACAAACGCATCGTGGCTGTGAAAAACATCAGCCTCGGGATTCCCGCTGGAGAGGTGAGCGAGGGGAAAAGGCTGTGGGCACCTTCCATTGTCACTGTTGTCTTCTCTCCCAGCCCTTGCTGCTGTCCCAGCACAGCTGTAATGGTTTGTCCTGCTCTGAGCTCTTCCTCCCTTTGCCTCATTCTTGGGGTTACAGTAGTGATGAAAGGCTCCTTGTGGATTTGGGACACCAAGTGACAGTTTGAAGGCCTTAGAAAGAGAGGAAGTGGATGGGAATTGATGGAGAAAAATGTCTGCATGCTGTGTTTGCACAGCACCCAGCACAGCACATCTTGTGGGGTCACTGGGGGTCACCAGGTGGTAAATGAAGACAGCAGAATGTGTCCAGCTGAAATTATTCACCTGAACTGCGTGGGAGATTGTGAGTCAGACCATCGTGTTTTCCCATCAGGGAAGACAAATCACTTCAGCTGAACACACATTTTCATGAATCAGGACTTAAAACTAAAGAAAAAAATGTTTCTTTGGTCATGTCAGCGCAGTTACCTGCCTGAGAAGTGAAAAGATAGGAGCGCACAGAGCACCTCTGACATGCAGAGGAAAGAGGAGACAGATTCTACCTCAGGCTGTGCATCTGACCTGTGGGGAAGCTTGGCATTAACCCTTGGTACCTGATTTATTTTAATTGCCTGGATCCCACTGAGATAAAAGGATGTAGGGTGCTGGGCAGGACAGCAGCCTCACGTGGAGACTGAGGCTCTGGTCTTTCTGGCAGAGGACTTTTCTAAGCCACAACTGGCACTGAGGTCTGCAATGGCCTGTCCCGCTCGACGGGTTTGGGGGGAAGGCAGTTGGATTCGCTCTGTGGTGCAGCGGAGGAACAACAAAATTATTAGGAGGTTCAATAACAACCTTTTACTACAAACTTTAGGACATAAAGGTAGAATAAGGTACTTGGCAAATTTTAAAACAACACCCAGACAAAGTAAGGCACTTCACAAACTTTAACTTAGCAAACTTTCTAGCTCGTCCATGGTCTGCCGTTTTGGGGCAGCCAATGCAGTGCTGTCACCATTTCGGTGTGGGCCAAAGGCTCACTGAGACTAAAAGGGGTGGGTGCCAGAGCAGTGCCTGTCCCACCTCTGCACAGCTCGCCCTGTTCCCCTCTCACTTCCTACCTGGTTGTTTGGAGCAAGTCAGCCACTCCTCCGCTCTCCTACAAGTTCTCTGACTTCTGGCAAAATTCACCCTGCTGCTGATGGGATTTAGGGCGCCATTCCCCACCTGCCAGCAGAAGTCCTGGCCCTGCCCACAGACTGTGCACAGATAGTGTCTCTGCATGAACCTCAAGGTGGGGAAGAGCCTTGGGTTGATGCTGTGCATCTGCAGTGGGCCCAGCACATAAGAACTTTCACATCAGATGGTTTGTACTAATGATATCAAAATAATAGTAATTATCAGCACAATGGCGATGGCTTATGCAACACATAACTGCATTTACCCAACCTTAGTAATAAAACATGAATTTTACCATGAGATACTGGAACTGCACTACAGGGAGCCAGTTCTTAATCTTATTAATGCAGTGCATTACTGAGATTATTTGACAAAAATCTTGTGTCACATTAAGGTTTTACCAGTGACAGCCCAAACCTCACTCGCCTCATTCCCATGAGCAGCTCTGTTCCTGTCAAGGGGAGGCTTTGCACAAATGAGTTAATCAGGATTTGTCCTGTCAGATGGGCTCCTGCAGAAATGCACCTTGCAGGAAAAGGAATGACTCTATTAGAGACACATCCCTACTTCTTCACCATATTAAACAAACGGTCCTAATATAAGGCTCGGAATATTGCACCATAAACAACCTCCATTATAACATTGGTATGCGCCGAGTTCCTCTGCCTCTCCCGCAATCCATCTTGCTCAGGGGGCTGGAGAAAGAGGAGACAAGGTGCACTGAGCACTCCTCTTGGAGCAGGATTTCTGCATTGGAAATACAGCACACTTGCATTTCTCTGCTTCTCTTTCCCACAACCCAGTGCTTTGGCTTGCTTGGTGTGAACGGAGCTGGAAAGACGACGATCTTCAAGATGCTGACGGGTGATATCGGAGCATCCAGCGGAAGGTTGCGGGTCCAGGATCATTCTGGGTATGGAAGATGTGATTTCTGGGGAAGGCACACGAGCAAATCAACCTGAGCAGTTTTTAAGGCTGGGTGGTAAAGGAAAGGAAATGTGAAAGTCTGAAACAAAAGAAAACATTCAAAACAGAGCAAAAATAAATAAGGCAGGGAATTCATCCTTTGAAGGCGGTATGGTTGCTTCTTAGGGGGTTGCATTTTGCTGCCGTGCCTCTGCTGTTCTCAGAGGTGTTTCTTCCACTTCATTCCATTGCAAACGGGATCAGGCTCAGATCCTTGGAGTGTGACCCCACTTCTGATCTAGACCTGGAGACCAGTAGGACTCATCTCAAAGCACACTTTAGCAGGCATAGGTGTGGTGGCAGCTGTGCCACCTGAGATGCTGCAGTAAATGAAGAACTATGTACTAGAACTGAGGGCCTGAAAGCTGGAGGTCTGCAGATTCATAGCATTTTCCTTCAAGGGTTGGGAAAGGGGGTAGGAAGCTGGAGAAAGGGGTTTTCTCACTCTTGTTTGATTCCAGAGTGCATTGGCAGTTCAGTCCACGTACAGTGACTTTGCCGATTTCCTTACACAGGTCCTTGAATGACATTAGTGAGGCACACTGGTCACTCTTTGGCTACTGTCCTCAAGAAGATGCCTTGGATGACTTGCTGACGGTGGAGGAGCACATGTATTACTATGCCAGGCTGCACGGCATCCCAGAGAGGGACATCAAGGGAGTGAGTAACAGTGGGGCTTGACTTGCAGCATTTGTCATTATTGAGAGCCTTTACATTAGTCTTTCAGTAGAAGCGTGTGTGGTAATTCACACCTGGACATGTTATGGAAGCAGTGCTCTTGCTCCATAGGTTGTACTCCAGCTTCTCCACCGGCTGAATCTGATGGCCTACAAGGACAGAGTCACCTCCATGTGCAGTTATGGCACCAACAGAAAGCTGTCAACTGCTCTGGCTCTCATTGGGAATCCATCGATCCTGCTGCTGGTGAGGAATGAGGGCCTTGCTGGGGGCAGGAGGAGCACATCTTTGGGCTGGCAGGGGAACTGTGACAGTGTAGCAAAGGCCCCTGAGGCACAGTTTACGGGACACTCCCAACATGCCCATGCTTAGCCTGACAACAGAGGCATCACAGAAAACTTTAGGTGTCAGCAAACACTCAAATATTCCTTGAGGGCATAAGAGTGTGGTGACTGCTAGTTTCTCTGATAGCATCTTTCAGAGGTCAAAAATAGGTCTTATATTTGCCAATTAGGCTCTTTTTTTCTATCGACTAACCTGCAGAGTCTTGCAACAAAAGTGGCATCCAAACCTGTAGGAGAGCAAAGGAGCAACTTCCCTCAGGATTAGAACATAAAACTTTTTTTCTAGGTTTGGCTTCCCGTTTTGTCTTTGAGCTTTCAGCTTGCCAGTTCTTCCATGAGCTATGCCATTGCTAAAACATACCTTTTTGTGCAGTTGTCCCACTTGCTGTGTATTGAATGTGTGCAGAGCTCTGTGAGCAGGATTCCCAACGTTAAGTCAGATACCTGGTGGACATAAATCTCCCTTGGCCCAACTTATATCAAGCCCAGGACTGCTGCCTTTGCTTCTGACCACACACTGGTGCTCTTATTGCTTTTGTGAGATAAAAGATTTGAATAAAAAAAAAAATAGGCAGTGGGGAAATTCCCTCTGTACTGCCTGCTGCCTGAACCCAAGCTGGTTTATTTCTGCCTCTTGTAAGCTGTTGTCCTCAACAATAGCAGCTTGTCAATCAGGAGCTGGCTGACAATTTCATCAGCAGTGCCTAAGACAGGAGATGGTATATCCTCTGTCATCTCTCACTTGCTGTCTCTCTAAGTGGAGAAATGCAACACGTGCTTCACCAGCATAGGATAAAGAGGCACGTGCCTGTTGTTAGCTCCTTGTCTGGGGTGGTGGCTGTGGGCTTTGGGCGTTTCAAACACTGTGGTGTAAAAAGTACAGAGCGTCCAGCGGAGGCTTGGGGGCGTGGGGTATCTTAGTCAAATCCATAATGCAACTGAGGATAATCCTTGTCCCAACTCTGTACCAGTGTAGGCTCTCCTGTGCATGCTTATAGCAAACATAACACTGAGGATGAATCTGGAAACAGCACAAGTGTTGGGGAGGTCAAATTTTGAGTGCAGTTTTACACTCAGTCCTGTCTTTCCCAATAGGATGAACCGAGCTCTGGAATGGATCCGAATGCTAAACGCCACCTTTGGAAAATCATCAGTGAGGAAGTGCAGAACAAGTGTTCGGTGATACTCACATCCCACAGGTAGGGCTGGGGTGGCTCTGCCCCCATTTTGGGGTTGACAGGAGGTATGGAGAGGCCTATCCCTCGCACTCCCTGTTGGTCCTTGCACAATTCCAGAGCTGTGACAGGTTTGGGGCTTTGTTGTGGCTGAATGTGGGTGCCCACAGAGACTCACAATACTTTAGGGAAGAACAGTCATGTTCTCTGATTACTAAAACAACCATTTTTTTTTATACCTTCTCAATGATTTACTGGAGTTTCTGGGTTGGTTTTTCAGCATGGAAGAGTGTGAAGCCCTCTGTACCAGGCTGGCTATCATGGTGAATGGGAGTTTCCAGTGCATTGGCTCTTTGCAGCACATCAAGAGCAGGTCAGTAAAATGGACCTATTTCACTTTTGCTGAACCATGTATGGAGTTACTGACCTACAGCTTTGAGGGCTCAGAACATGAGACCTGTGTTAACAGGACATCAAAATAATGACATTTTCTGGTTTATGTTTCTTACTGCACCATTGAAATTCTTTGTTAACTAATGCACTTTCTTCTCTCTCACAGCCTTTCTTCCCAAAGTAATCAGTTCACTGCTGCAAATGTGAAATGCATATGAGAGTTGAGCTTTTATTTTATTAGTTCTAACAATAGCTTGGCTCCTTATTAAGTTTCACTCCAGGTTAACAACCCTGACCCCATTCAAGTTGTACTCTGCCTGGATTAGATTTCCCCAAAGAGGCCATGCAAGATCTCTCAGAGGATTTTCTTTATCTGTTTCTCTTTTCCACACTGTTAATTGTGATTTACTGTTTCCTCTAGATTTGGAAGAGGATTCACTGTGAAGATGCACTTGAATAGCAACACGGTTTGCACTGAGACGCTGACAGAGTTCATGAAGTCACACTTTCCAAACACATGCCTGAAGGTAAGCAGGACAAATGCTTTTGGGAGAGGCCTTCAAAATCCCTTCAAATTAACCAAGAGGATCTTGCAAGATGGACACCTTGTAATGTACAGTGCACATGGACCTGTGCCCTCAGGGTCACACTTGCACTGCTGTCAGCTACACGGTCCAGGGGCTGGAGCACTCTACTTCTTTGGTGGCTTAAATAACATCAGTCAAACAGCTGCAGTGATGCTGTAAGGCAGCTGCCCCAGGGATGGTCCCACAGACACCTGGCCTGTGTGGAGACCCACTTCAGGTTCAGTGGGTAGTGAGATGGTCGGGTGCTTCCAATAACTGAGTAACTGTAGAACCAGATTCACTCAGTCACAAATCCCATCCCTTGTCCCTAACCCAATCTCTACATTAATCAAAATGGCTCACTTGGAGCTGGAAAACGCTATGGCCACCCTGGAGCTTCCAGCTTTGGGGCTTAGTTATCCTCTCCCAGTCACAGAACCCCCAGGAACTCCCAATGGGGAAACACTGGTCAATACCAGAAGACACCCCCTGCCCCTTCATTCTCCCATGGTCCATCAGATCTGTTGGCTCTTTAAAGGGGGCAACCTCTTCATGTTACCCCATCATTCCTGTTCCCACAGGATCGGCATTTCAACATGGTGGAGTATCACGTTCCAGTCTCTGCAGGAGGCGTAGCAAATATATTTGATCTCCTGGAAGGCAGCAAAGCAGCCTTCAATATCAGGCACTTCTCTGTGAGCCAGACGACGTTAGAGGAGGTAAGGAATTAAAATGTGTGACCATCCATTTAAAACTGCCAACAGGGGAGCAGACTGATGGTTACACATAATGGACTGCTGCACACAATAGACTACATTTTGAAAGGGATTTCCATCTATATTCCTCCTGGGGGTACTTTATCAGTACTACTGCCTCCAGGTACCTGTGCTGGCGCGAGGAAAATGCACACGGAAAGCTGCCCGTAGCATAAAGGATCAGTTCTTCCCTCTGTCACTGCTGATTTCAGCAGCCTCGTGGGTTTGGATGAAGGGCAGGATTATGAATCACTCCCGAGTCCAGGGCTAGGCTTGCCACCAGTCCTGGAAATTTGCTTAGTTTCACTCTTTGGTTTGTAAGTTCATTTAGCATTACTCCAAAGTTAACTTCGTGGTTAAGTCCTTTCCATTTTCCCTTGGAAGAACATTCCCACTGGCACCAAAATCTTGCAGGAAGCATATCAGCTGTAGGGATGCCACAAGGACTCTCCTGTTGAGCATCAGCACCTGAAATACTAGGTTTGTCTCAGAGAGAGGAGCAGCCCTGTCGTCCTATGGACTGTGGCACAGTGATCTGGGGGAAGTTCCTCAGTGTTGGTGTAATCAGGGGCAGTGGCTGCGAGAGAAACAGCCGGACAAAACGCAGGAAGCCCCAAGTTTTGTGGGATGGCAGCTTGGATTTGTGAATATGCAAATGTGATTGCAGGTAGTGTTCTAGTAAGAATACTTGGTGTATGCATTCGATACTTTTCAAAGGAAGCTGTAGGAGCGATTGTAGACACCCATCTCTGCACTCTGCAGTTGCGTGTGCACAGGTGTCAATTACACAGAGACAGATGGGTTTATAAAGCAATAATGGGACTGTGTTACTGTGTGATCGAAAGGAGCCTCCACACGGGTATTACCTCGCTGGCACTGCTGGAACCTGAGCTGCAGGACAATTAGGCTTCATGCAGGAATGTCTGCCTTTGCATCCCGGGTGTCGATTCAGCAGTACAGGAATGTGCATCCATTTATTTACATTAGCCCATGGAAGACCAACATTTGCAATTCTCAAATCCAGCGTGAAGCACGCTCTCCAGGCTCACAGTCAAATGAACAGCCAATCCTTTTTCATATTCATTCATATTATAAATTATTTATGCTGTCACGGACTGAGTGTTTTCCTTTGAAATTCCAGGTTTTCATCAACTTTGCTAAAGATCAAGAGGATCCTGACGGCGTGGACACGGGTCCTGATGTGACAGTGGACAGCTCTGACACAAGTAGCCAAGCGAGCACCATAAGCTCCATCTATTGAGGGCACCCAACCACACGGGATCATAGAACCTGGGAAAAGACCTGGCAGCCCCTCAGGGTTCTTCCAACCCTGTTTTCTGTGATTCTGGGATGGTGGGGATGAAACAGTCCCATTTTCTTAAAGTACTTTCTTTTTTTTTATGCACTTAATTTGTAACTAGGAACAGGGTAGGCATTTGAGACTGGCACTTGGTTACAAATCAGATTGGTCTTTCCACAGTTCTTTTCCCCCCAGTTCTTGTTTTGTGATCACTGAAATGCCTGTGAGGACTTAGATGACATCACCTGCTGCTCGTGGCTGTTTGCTTGCAGCAGAAATGGCTGTGATGGAGCAGAGGAGCTGTTGGCAGTGCAGGGTATTTGACCAAAGAGCAGCCCCAGGCTGCAGAGGAAAGCCCACACTCCACTCCTTGCTCAGCAGCAGACTTCCAGGGTGACCATGCCAAAGTCCCTCAGGTTTGACAGGTTCCCCGCTGGTGAGAAGGGGCTCGTGGCCTTGCCCTGCCTCCCAGGGGAGCTGTGAGGGCATAGGTGTTGTGTACTGAGAGCTGCAAATGCCATTGGTGGGGGCCATCTTTGGTAATGACATAGAGCTTATCTGTATGTGTGGGTTACGTCAGCACAAATACAGTTATTTTACAAGTTAGTGCTTCCAGTGGTTTTGGTTTGTTCCTGTAGTTTATTCCAGCTCTATGTAACTCCTCAAGTAACTCCTCTGGTGCCAGGCAGTTCCTAGCTCCTGGTACCCAGTGGAAGATCATTCCCCCACGAGCCCTTTTCTCCTTTGGGCTGGTGTTCAGGTCTGCTCTGCCACAGCTGAGGAATGGCACAGGGCAGGTGTGTTGGAATCCTCTGACATGAAGGAGTTTGCTTTCCAAGACTGTGTTTCCCTGAGCACACTACAGGCAGCGAGCACTTCCCTTGCTCAGAAAACCTCCATCTCCCAGCAGCTCTGCTTCTCTGTGTCCTCTCCAATGACCTTCCTCCTCAACCCCACGTGGTGGCTGCCCCCATGACTCCAGAGCTGTGTTTTCCCACATAATAAGGCATCATTAGCTTCTGCTTCAAAGGCTCTGCCTGCTGGCTTTCAGTGAGTCCTCCGCCTCCCTATGAGCAGCAGCCCCCAGCAGCTGAGTTGAGCACACCAGCACGCACATCCTGCTTCTTCCCCCCCAGAATCATTAATAGATAGAGCAGTTGAATATGATTCTTTATTATATGTATCAGCATAAGGCCTCAAAGACTCGGGTTTGGGTCAGGGCATTGGTGTACGTGGTGCTATTCAGGTACATAATGAACTTAAACTCTGAGCTCAATAAACTTGCTGTTGCTGGTGAAAGAGACTGCAGATAAAGCCTTACCTTGTGAGACCTGGGGTGGCCCATACAACTTACCTGGGTTCACCCACACAATTCCAGCCAGGTGGCTTCTTTTTCCTTTTTTTTTTTCCCCAAAACTAATATGAGCCAAAGCAACCTTTGATGAAAGCTGCAATGGCACATCATTCTCACTCTGATCATCAGAGCAGTTTGACTAGTTCAGCTCCTATTTGATGCCTTTTGAAGGAATAGGTACTTTCAATATCAAGGGGTTCAGGATTTTACGGTGGGATACTGATGTTCAGGGTTTAGTTGCTGCAAGGAGGTCATGAATTCTCCTTGGTCTTGGTATAAACTTCTTACTGATAGCAGGAGGAGTTTTATTATGGATTGAAGGTATTGTCAAGCCTTGAATTATGCCTCAACCTGCTGACTGTAATTAAAACTGAGATTCAGCTTCTTTCCAGAATGCATTTGACACCTGCAGTAACTGAAAAAGCTGCCCAGACATCCATTGTAGCTTCCATTATTATGTCTCCAGCTCTGCAAAGGCTCTTTTTTCTCATTTTCATTGCATATCTTATACAGATCACAGTATAAAATTAAGCTTTTCTCTAATGGAGGGCTTGTGCTCCCTGCAAAGGACTCGGAGCATGAATGCCAATGATTTAAATGCAGCCTTGTAATACCAATCAGAGTATTATTTTATTATGTCGATGGCTTTGCAACTGCCAGTGAAAGATGGATCTTCAGACTCTGTCCAGATGTACTTTACATGTAATTGAGGGAGACTGATACAAAGCTATTCTTTTGTCCCTTTAGAGCCTACTAATCAAACAACAAAAAAAAAAAGGGAAGTGATTCATTGGAATACTTCAGCAAGTTGCAATTTAATTGAGTAAAATAGTTTTGAGGGGGGAAAAAAAAGCAAAAAGCATCCTTTGAATTTCCACCCAATTCTGGCATTAATAGAAACATCTGCTCCATGTGAAATGTGTCAGGGCCGTGATATACACTCCCCGTTCTCACTTGCAGGTAGAAATAAACCATCTGCTGTTGCAATCAAGTCTGTAGGTATTGGTCCAAACAAGCCCGAGTTTACATCCTGGAGGGAATTTAACTGAGGCCCGTGGAGAAGCACTTACAACTGTTTGGGGGGTTGAAGCATCTGGCAAGGTGGTTGTATATCACGTCACCAGGGGCTGAATTACCTTTTGTGCCACATTACAAACATCCCTGTTCCCTGCAGAGCCTCAGATTCATCCTGTCCCTTTCAGGTGTGGGACACTCCAGCCTCAATTCTGAGGCAAAACACATGCAAGCTAATACAATCCTGCCTCTGCACACCAGCTGCAGGCTTCTCATCACCTCTTTGTCTCCCTGAGCAGGGTCCATTGTGGTTCCAGGGGTGGCCAGGAATGCGGAGCCTGGACTAAAAGGCAGCTGCTGAGGATGTGTGTGATGGGTTGTGAGCAGGCCCGGGAAGGACGGGGTCGCTCCCCTGTCTTCAGCACTCACCGTCATCTTTCCCTGTGGGTGTCACAGCAGGTGCCCCCTGTTGTCAGTCCTCTCTGGATCCCCTCAGAAATTTTTGCTTTACATAACTCTGCTTTCCAAAAAACCCAGGCAGCCAACAAGCTCCCTCCTCCCTCTGGCCTGGACAGGGAGGTGAGGCTGCTGAACACACTGACCCAGCAGCGCGCTGTGTACCACGGCACAGCTCCTCTCCAGGAGCTGCAGTCCGGGGGGAAAACAAGCTTTTCATCTCACTCCTTTGATGCAATTCCACCTCAGCGACCCTCAGAACCCTTGTTAGAGGCAGCAGTGCTGGGGCAAGCCCTGCCAGAGCGGTCACACAGCCCCTGTGTGTTAATTGGAACGGCACGGGCCTCAACCAAGCTTCATTTAGAACTGCTCTGACACATTACAGACATGAGGTGTAGGCAGTGCAGGCGCTGAACAGGGTCAGGGAGGAATTTCAGAACTGGTGTGTGCATTGTGAGGCTGATTGAAGTCGGTTTTGTAATTGGAACTGTGGACTTGGAGACAACGGCTCAAATCTCCATCCTGGCTCTCCTTCATTTACTGCTTTGTGCTGTTGATGAGAGCATGGTGCTTCTACGGCTTGATCCTTGCTTAGCTTTGGTCTCGATGCCAATGACTACCGAGGGTTGACTTCAAAGGGTCAGAGAGGGGCTGGCAGGGCCAAGGAAAGCTGTCCGGAAGGACCAATGTTAAGCAAAACACTGTAAATATAAATTCGGGGTCTAATGGGATTTTTTTTTTGTCCTTTCATGAGAGCTGGAGGAGTGCTTTTGTTACTGGGTCCTTTCAGAAAACATGTTTACAGATCAAATTAACACATCCAGGTAAACAAAACTCAGTGGCTAGTAAAGCACAGGAGCTGGTGGTGCCCACAGACCTGCTGCCTCTGTGGAGTCACTGCTCAGATCCACAATTTGCAGAATCCAAGCTCGTAATAGGGTCAGAATGTGCCCCAGCCTGTTGTAGGAGCTTTGACTTCCTTCCACTGCTGCAGCTTCACTGAATCTGCTGTGAGACTTTCCGGCTTTTTACAAGCCAAGAAAAATGTATGCCTCTGCACTTAATAGGGGAAGGGTTATTTTGTGAGCTGCTGGAGGGAGAAAAATGGGTTTTGGATGGCAACAGCACATAACATGATTTTACTCTTTTTTTCAGACAACAGCTGTGATCTTGCATAGCTATAACAAAGTATCAGCAGCATATTAAAAGAGAGCACAACAGAGAAAAGAAGCAGTGGGGAATGACAAAACAAAAATTGAATTCACCAGGATTATTATTCCATGACAGTATTTAAATAAAAAAAACCACTCTAATTAATTTAGTTGTTCAGGGAGAGGGTGGAAAGAAGGAAGATGGCACTAAAATAGTAAGAACAACATTAGTAAGGGGCACAGCCAGCGTGTGCTGTTGGCTCTGTTCCTCCCACCACTTGCATCTATAGTGCTGGTAATGAGGGGGGACGATCAGCCCCACAGTGCTGGGGAGCAGCAGAGGGAGTGCAGCCCATTTTGGGCCAGACCAGGCTCCTCAAAATATCTGTGGCGGGGGGGAAGCTGCACAAAACCACCCCAAGGAGTATCAGTATTTTGGGACCGGAGCCTGACCCACACCACGTTACAATCCTGCAGCACCCGCAGGCTGGCACGTGCCAAAATGGGAGAGTTACAGCGGCCACACGGAGCTCAGGATGGAGGAAACGGATACTTGTGCTTGCAACCCACGGAGCAACGCTTGAAACCAGGCACTGCTCCCCGGTGCTTGGTTCCTGGGCATGCAGCCCCCAGTTCAGTGCTGATTGCTGCTGGAAGACACCGCTGGAAACAGGCCATTGCCAGGGAGAGCAGTGGTGAGGGCCCTGTGCTGGGAAGCGAGAGCAGGAAATGGCAGTGCTCCCACAAGCTGGGAGGCTCAAAGCAACAATCCCACCCTCTACCCCAGCCTCCAGATTAAGCAGTGAGTCTTTCACTAGATCAGCATGTTGGGTGGAAATGAAGTGCCTCTTAGAAAGAGCTCAGGTCTTCACTGACTCCAAAGAAAGAAACAGGAAGGGCATGACAGAATTTATGGTAACACACGAGATAAAATCCAAGTGAAGGCACGGTTATCATCGAGGCTCTTGCTTCCCTTAGCAGGTCGGGGTGAGCTCCCAGCCCTCTCCTCTCTGTGTCCCAGCTGCCAGCTGAAGGGGTTTTACCCAGCCCTCTGCTTCAGTGTGTGCTGCTGTTTCACAGCCAGAGACAAATGGAGGCACATCCAGCGTGTGACAGGGAGGATGAAGCGGGATGATCTGCCTCTCCATAACCAGACCCAGCTGGGTTATTCCTGTGCAAGACAGCAATTACTTTAATTTAAAATTATACCAACCAGATTGAAATGCAATTAAAGGAGTTCCCTTAGGGTTGCACATCCAATTAGTAGAGCACCTTTAATTACACCAGTGCAGACACGGGCCGAGAGGACCACTAGCACGGAGGTGAGGCCTGCCTGGTGACCCACATCCATGGGGGCTCCAGAGGAGTTATGCCTGGGTTTCCACCCACTGGGGAACAGAAGCCCCTGGGCTGGCCCAGCCTGGCCTAGGAGCAAGGCAGAGGAGAAATACAGAAACCATTTTCAGCTTTGTAAGAGCAGTTGTCTCTAGCAGACAGTTTCTGGAAAGCAATTAATAGCCAGATGCTTCTAAAAGGTAAGAGTTCTTCCCAATTTTTTGTACATGAGGTTTCCCTCTTGCAGTGTCTGAACATACCCTGCTCTGAGGAACTGTGGAAGCTGAAGCATCGGAGTTGGCTTTGATAAGAAAACTCATTAAAACACTAACAATGCAAATATTAAGAATTGCCAGAAACACCAGAGCACTTCTAGGTGTCCCTCAGCCATCTCCAGGGAGTTTTGTGAGGTAGAAGAACTAAAAATACCTTCCCACCTGTAGCCTTGAGCATAACACCACCTCCAAAGCACCCAGTGGGTGTGACTCAGGAGTGTGGTCCTCGTTTGGAGCCTTAGTCCAAGTCCCCGTTGAAGCCAACAGTCTGGCTGCTCTGAACTATTCTATTTAAAATCCTGTCAAAGAGAGAAAATAAAGCTGAAAGATACTCTGCCCATTGTAGCACCAAGCCTGAGGGTTGGTGTGTGTCAATAATCCCTGGGGCCCAATTTTAATGCAAAATCATGTCACCTTGCACCAGATGGTGCCCTCAGGTCAATACTGACAGGGGTACAGGAGCAGGTGCTCCACACATCTTCACATGCTCCTCCTCAAGTGTTCCTTTAAGCACCCTCAAAAGTTGAGACCATAGGCTTAGTGGGATTAACAATGATAATCATTCCCATCCATCACTGCAAAGCAGGCTGTGGAGCTGCTGAATCCGTTCTGCTCCAGGAACCCAGGAAATCGACGCTGTACCTGAGCAGCCAGGCAGGGGCAGCTCCAGGCTTGCTGTAAAGAGGAACAGAGCGATTGCTCAGGCTCACTTCCTTATTCATTTTTTTTATGAGCCCTCAGAGCCTCCCTAGGAATTATTAAAGCCTCTCCAAGGAGGGCAGAGCCGCAAAGGGAGCGTTTATTCACGGGCTGGTGCTTCACGCTGCGATAACCCTCTGTGTGAACATACTGGAGTGGCTGTACCGGGTCTCCTCCCTCACATGGGCAGTGAGGCCTCTCCTTTAACCTGCGTTCTGCACCTTCAGCATTTGACCACCCTCATTACAGACTCACAAGTGGCTTTTTTCCCCTATAATCAGCTCTTTGCCACGCATCGGTGGACGGCAGCAAAGGCAAAGCTTGGATGTTTGTTACGAACTACCCCGGTGCTGTGTCTGAGGGAGCCTCCTGCTCCCCAGGGTTGCATTACAAACTGGGATGTGTGAAATCAGGCAGGATTAGGGAATACCACAACATTTAAGCAATAGGGACCTTCACTGGGAGGATTTGGGCTGAAAACCAGGCAGGGTCCAAGACTGTGTAACCTCCAAAGGTCCTTAATGTGCCAGAGCTGGGCCCCCAGATACCTGCAGGGACAGAGATGTTTGAG